CCCTAATATAACTATATGTGTCCCATACAGTCCTGTGAAAACCAAATTAAACAAAACAAATAAATTTACCACTTAAATAATTAACTATAATTAAATAAATTAACTCAAAACAATTAACTCAAATAAATTAAAACAATTAAATCAATTTACTAATTAAAACACTTAAACACTTAAACAATCAAATTAATTCAACTAATCACTCATAATCAAATAAAATGCAGTTAAATTAAATTAAAACAATTAAATCCATTTACTAATTAAAACACTTAAACAATTAAATAATCAATTTACGAATTAAAACACTTAAACAATTAAATAATCAAATTACGAATTAAAACACTTAAACAATTAAATAATCAAATTAATTCAACTAATCACACATAATCAAATAAAATGCAATTAACTACTAAATTAAAATCCCCGGGATATCCTTTTTAAAATTAGGGGTATTACATAAGGTGTCAAATGGGAGTTTTAATTAATTCTGTCTTTATATCAGACTAAAGGGAACAACTTAAATTGGGCATGTATATGTTGTTGTTGTGACTCTGTTTATCAATGCTTATTTTATCACTGCTAACATTGAATGTTGGATGTTGGAATTTAGTTGATATATACTTAATTTATTGGTATTATTGACTACTGGAGGATTGGAAAGTAGGCACCGGTATGGGACGGTGGCATACTAAGGATGGGTTTGGTTTTTAAAACAATACCATTACCTACCTACTTGGAATAAGGACGGGATTAACTAAAAGTTAAGTCCCGCGGATTTGTATTGTCATGGCAACTACTTGTTGAGCGGCAATACCAGGGATTTTGGATGAATTTTATATATGTACTGTTACGGTGCCTCGGTATGAGCTTGAGCCTCAGGATCGATGGTTAGGGAGCGTATATGCATCGGGATGTGTAGTTGGCTACGATGGTTGGAGGTGTACCCTGTTTAGGTATAGGTACATATGCCCACTTCGTGTGCGTTTTAGCATGTTACCTCTATTCAGGTTGAGACCGGCCTGTAGTCCAGTGAGAGTCCTTTAGTGTGACTATATATATATTTACGGACTATTATCTATTGTTGAATTGTTTAGGATGTACATGCGTATCGGGCCTCTGTTTGGATTGTAGTAGTATAGAACTTGCGCGTGGGCCTGACCCACTTCTATTTTTCAGGTACACGACAGTTCCAGGCTTAGACGTATTCGTGCTGAGCAGAGGTCTCTATTCACTCTTCTGACGATGTAGGACTCTCTCTATAGTTTTATTTCTGGACGTTTATTACAGTTGTTCTATCTTCCGTTTGGATGTTTAATAGGGGTCCACTAGGGATGGATTCCCAAGTTGTAAACTGATGGAGTTTTGGAGTTTGGGTTTGATGGATTTTAATAATTATAATATTTTGCGAATTCTATTTTTAGTTCCTTCCAACTTTAATTTCATTTCTTAATTTATTTTGTATTCCGTGTTCATTATAAAATATTAATTGTTTGATATTCCCTCGGGTTTGGGCCTGGGCCTGATCAACCCGTGTCTCGGATCCGAGGGGTATCTCAGAGGTCATGGGTTCAAGCCTCCGTGGAGGCATGTGTGCGTGAGTACCCAACTAGGAAAAAAAAAATAAAAAATAGACAGAGAGCCCAGCTAGAATGTAATCCACCAAACCATTCAAATTCATAGCCACTGATGGGCCTTCTTTAAATGGTCCACATATTGTAGTACAAACAATTAGCGGACCAACAGTTAAACAATACTCAACATGGCCCTAAACAGTCCCAAGATCCGACCATAAAGGATGCAATAAAATGGGTCTGGCCTGCAGAAAACAAAGATGCCCACCTAAGGCCATTTGTTGGAGCGGCTCCTTAATAGCTTTCAAACAGTAACCACCACAAAATATCTCTGTCATTGCATTCCACGCACGCAAGGAGAATAATAAAAGTTCGTGATGTGACAATGGGCCCAGATGCAAGCTATGTGCCAACCAAAATGGGACACGTAGCCAATAGAGCAGAGAAGGGGATATGGACGCTGACCAGAAGGAAACCGACGACTGAAAGGAATCCTCCGACTCCTCGCCATCAACAGGCACTGACCGATGAACCGGAAGAGCACCAAAATTTGTTATACACCACAACTCCTCCATGTACCCATGGATCAAGTTAAAGCATATGGCCAACATCATAGTTGATCCCGTCGACGAGAACCCAGTAGCAAAAATTGATATTGGATTGTTAATCGGTGTCCATAATGGTATATACGTGTGTGTGTGTGTGTGTGTGTTTAGACAGTGAAAAGAGGATAAATTATTTCCAGTTTGATTATTTATATTTAAAAATTTCACCAAAGTTTTGCTTTGTAAATTCGATTTTCAGAATATCATGCATTACTTTATTTTGTTCATTGAAACTTGGAGCATATATATATATATATATATATATATATATTATAGGGTTAAGTGCATTAAACCCCCCTAGATTTTTTTCTCTCTCTCAGAAAACCCCCCTGAACTATCAAAAAGACATTTAACCCCTCAAACTATTATATTAGTTGCAAACTGTTAGTTATCGTCCAAAATTTAACGCCCAGAAAGCGCGTGAGATAGACGCGATTAAGCAAAATTTTAGAATGGCAAAAATATCCTTATGACTATTAAATAAATATTATATACAAATATACATCACTCTTTTCCATTTCCATATATATATATATATATATATAAAGCTGCATCTGCCGTCCTCTCTCTCTCCAACTACCTTCACCATTTGTCCATGGCCAACACCACCACCAACCGTCCATGGCGCCACCACCACCGCTCTCCCTTCCCCCACAAAGATGCTTCATCCTTCAGAACCACCTTCAACTCCACCATATATGGCTGCCGCCACTCCCTCTCTCTCCAATCTACCTCTTTCTCTTTTTTTATTTCACTTTTTGACCTCCAACTCCGACGATGACAAGAACGATGAAGAGGTGAAAAATCAGTCAGTGATCTGAAAGTCATCTTCAAGCCGAAACATCGCTAGTTGGAGCAGCTCATCGGCGAGGCCGAGGCAGCAGGCGACGGGCTTCACAGCGGCCAATTCTGTGTCGAGGAAGGCAGAGGTGTCGGTGAATTTGCAATATCGTCTCTTGCCTGATTGTACACAGAGAGAGCTACTATAATATACATATATAGTCCTTTCTTAAACCTCCACTCCTCTTGTAAATCTCCATTTTTTGTTCCTGTTCTATGTTCCTCGTCATTGCTTATTTGAATCACTTTCTCTCTCTACTCTCTCTCTTTCTAGGATCTCTCTCTATTTTGGTTGATCTTGGTTGGTAGTCAATATGCCCTTCCCTTAATTGCTTTTCCAATCATGTTATAAAAATACGAAGCTTGAATTTTTGAGTTGATTGAAGTTGTTAATGGTATGGGTATCCTTCAATTGGGTTGGATCTGTTGATAAATGTGATTAATTTTCATTTTAAGCGCCGCCATGGGAGATGACGGTGATGGCGTCCATGGATGGGGAAGAAGCAAGAAGAAAATTTGTTATATATATATATAAACAAGTATTTTTACTTATCAAAATATATATACATACGAGTACTACAGTTTTTTTAATACATTTAAATTAGTACTAATTGAGTTGTCATCCTTTAATTGGAGGGAATTATTTTTTGTTTGGTCAGCAAAATTATTGATTAAGATAGGATGACTTGTCAAATTTTGATTTAATAGAGGGATTACAAATGCCACATCAACACCCAAAGTAATGCAAGGAGTAGTTTAATTAATGGATAGAATGGTAATTTCATTTCTTTCTTAACGGTTGTTTGACGGTGTGGGGTAAATTGCAACACTCTTATAATTTAGGGGGTATTTTTTAATTCAGGGGGGTTTAGTGCAATCTGATCATAGTTGAGGGGGGTTTAATGCACTTAACCCTATATTATATTTCTCAATTTGGATTATGATATTAAATTTTCATTTGATTCGTATTTTTCTAAAGTGGACAATAGTCTATTGATGATGAATTGATATGTTTTTTTTTTTTTTTTTTTTTTTTAGCATGAAAATTGATATGTGATAAACCTACACATGTGTTAAAGTATTAATTAAGAATAATATTTAGTGTAGTGTCTTCAGTGAGATGTAAACCATTCTCACCGCAATTGATGTGGACGAATAATAAATCGATTTATTCTCTTTAATTATTAAATTAGACATTCTCACTTGTAAACTTAAATATTATACATTAATTAATATTAGTAAGAACAATTTAAATACCTAAAGTAACTTATGTTGTAATTGTCTTACATTTTTTTATCATCAAATAGAATTTTTATACATCAAAATTATTTCTGAATTTGTATACATCAAAATTATTTCTGAATTTGGATTATGATATTTTATTCTCTTATGGGCTTTTAAAATAGAAGATAGAAGGTTTTCAAGTTCTTGTTCAGACAAGGGAGTATGTGAATACGTTTCTTATAAATGGAAGAAGGAAAAAAAGAAATCCTACACATTTATTGAAATTTTTCATTAGTAGAATAAAAAGTTGGGGAAAAATATTGTATTGTTTGGTTAAAACTTTTTAAGAATTAATTTTAGGAGAATACTTAGCTACTACTCACCCTTATGTAGTTCAATAACAAAATAACACATCACCTTTAATAATAAAATAATTTACACATTATTCTGCTTTTTCGGATCAACTATTAAATGTGATGTGTTATATTATTATTGGACCGAATAGGGGTGACTAGCTTTACCCTACTTACCAACGAGTAACTAAGCATTATTCTTAATTTTATATTTTGAAAATTTTAAATGAAAACATGGTTAAAAACACCTAAAGTTTTTAGAAAACTTATTTAATTTATTTGAAAACTACAGTATAAAGTATAAACTGTTTTTAAAGTTTTTGAAGCCATCAAAGGATATTTTCTTTTTAATAGTCAGTTTACTTTGTGACGTGGCGTTTACTAGAACCTTCAATTATTCGTCTCCCTTTCTCTCTCTAAGAATGTTTCTCCATAGTCCCAGTATATAGGTCGGTTTGTATACGGTGTTTATTACTTCATTAGGAAAACCATTGACAATCGCTAGGGCTGGGTATCATTCTATCTGGAATTTGTTCTCTCAGAACTTCAATTTCTCGTTGACGAAGGTAATTTTACTCGTGTTCAATTTGTTGATAGTATTGAATTGTACAATTGCGAACTTATATGATTTTGTTATTAACCTATCTCTCTTTACCACTTTTGCTTTCTGATTTTTGTATGAGAATTGTCAATTTTGCTTTTGATCATGATTCGTCCGGATATCTTCTATTATCTACGTATGTACATATATATAGATATATATATTTCTTAATTTTATCTAAAATTCGTTTAGGGTTTCTTGATTTGATGAAAAACGATACGTTTCCACTGTATGCACAGTTTCGTTTCCATTGCTTCAGTGTTGTAAATAGAAATATTTATGCTTCTGATGTAACTTTGAATGACTTTAATTTTGATGTTGTTTTCATAGTGGTGAATGGTAAATGATACTCAATCACGTGATTCTGAATGCTGGTTTTCGAGTAGGAGTTGGATTCCCCCCTCCCAAAATTTCACGGTCATATATATGCATCATTTACGGGGTCGGCCGAGCCATAGCTTTTATTTTTGCAGCAACGATGGTTGAAGTTTAAGTAAAATTTGATTCTGAATTTCTGATTGTGTTGAGCCGGAGAGCTGTTGTCTGCCTGTAGGGTTATCCCTTTCCCTCATTTGATTTGTTGAAAAACGAGATTGGGAAAAGAAATGAGTGTTTGCTGCTCTTCTTATTGGGTGACAGTAATGATTGTATGCATTGCCCGGAAGAGAGGCTAGCAGCAGATGGTGGATGGCAAAAAAGTTGATTTAATTGATTATCATTTTGCCATCATGGTGAAATGACGCCTCTTTTGATCAGCGGATAATTGTGGTTTCATAAATAAAAAAAAAATTGAAGTTTTAAGGTTTAGTGCTTTCCTTTATGTGGTTTGAGGAAAGCATTATGCATCAGAGAGTTGAAAAGGGCAATCACCACAAAAGAGTGGAGTAGAATAAGAACTTACTTGTTCTTGGTTATTTTATAGTTAAGGTTTATTTTTTTTGAAGCCTATGTAACTTAATACGTGAGCTTGTATGTAATATAGGAACTTATATGCTTGTTAGGTATATATCTAACTAGACATGTCAGATGGATATTCTATGCATGTTAGGGGGGGCATGAGTGCTTCACACGTTTATAAGAGGCTATGCGATATAGGATTCATCTCTGTGACCTTAGGAATTCTATGAATTTTGGTTGAGGTTGAGGTTGAGGTGAGGCTTTAATTTTCTATTATCAAAGTTTTCAGAAACCTTATATTCACCATTTCCCTTTTTTTAGTAACTCAATAAACAGGATGTGATATTATGTTTTGGATATAGAACCACTATAGTGAACCCCAGTAAGTAGTTGTTTTGTGACTGATAGAAACATGCCATTTTAGCATGAACAAGCATTTAAGATTGCCGCTATTACATCATTGAGTGGCTTTAGCATGGTAAAGGTTGATCTTGATTTAACTATTCAAGCACTTGTAGCCGATGAAAATTGTATGGGAAGAAAGTAGAACAACTAGTTCACATTGAGGAGTGAATCTTGCTTCTTCTTTCAACCCTTAAGGGTGAGCAGTCTGGTCTCTTGAACAACTTGGGATTCTTTGGCAAGGATCCAAGCCCTCACATTGATTATTATTATTATTATTATTTTTTGATAAATAAAAAATTTTATAAAAAAAACACTCCAAGGGGGAGCGGAACCCAAGAACAATACAAAAAACCACTCAATCCTTCAAAGAGGCCAAAAAATCAACAATTTCCTCCAAAGATCTATGATCTCTCCCTAAAACCCAACAAAAAAGAGTGGAAATAATCGAGAATTTAAGCACCGAAATCGACATCGCCTTTCCTTCAAAATATTTCCTATTCCTTTCAAGCCAAATGCACCACCATACACAAAGCGGTGTAGCCCTCCACGCATCCTGACTGTGATTCCCCACAGGGCAACCTCTCCAAGCCTCAATCAACCCTCTTGTAGATCTAGGCATAACCCAATAAAGCCCAAATAAGCCAAGCATCAAATCCCAACACTCTCTAGCCACATAGCAATGAATGAGAAGGTGATCCACTGATTCCTCATTACGAAGGCACATAAAACAACGATCGATCACCACTTGGCTTCTCCTTCGCAAATTATCCTGGGTTAGGATCTTACCCATAACCGAAGACCACACAAAGAAAGCCACCTTGAGAGGAGCCTTGGAGCGCCAAACAGACTTCCAAGAAAAACGAACATCAGGATCAAATGAGAGACACTTGAAGAAGGACCTCACCTCAAAACGCCCATGAGAGTTTGCTACCCAAGACCAACAATCCGAATCCTCCTCCACAATCCTTTGGCGATAAAGCAGCTCCAAGAAGCGAATGACCTCCTCGATCTCCCAATCCTGAAAGTGACGCCTGAATCGAACATCCCAAACCAGTCTTCCATTATCAAGATGATAATAGTTGACCATCATGGCCTGCCTATCCGAAGCAATCCTGTAAAGCTGAGGAAAAGCGAGAGCGAGAGGAACATCTCCACACCACACATCCTCCCAGAAGCAAATCCTCCTCCCATCTCTAAGACGAAATCGAATGTGTTTAGAAAATTCATCCCAACCCTTCCGAATTACTTTCCAGACCCCTACCCCCCGAGGATCCCGCACTTCCAAGGAACTCCACCCTCCTCTCAATTCCCCAAAACGACACGCCACAACCCTCCTCCAAAGCCAATGTCTCTCCACACCAAATCTCCACAACCATTTCCCGAGAAGGGCCTTATTAAATGGCACCAATCTATGGAGACCCAACCCACCATTCCAAATAGGCCTGCAAACCTAATCCCATCGCACCAAATGGAACTTAAACTCTTCAGCTCTACCTCCCCAAAGAAAATTTCGCTGCAACCTCTCAATCCTCTCCGCAACTGAAGAGGGAATTTGAAAAAGAGAGATAAAGTAAGTGGGGAGGCAAGAGAGGGTGCTCTTAATCAGAGTGATCCTGCCGCCCTTGGAAAGATATTGCTTCTTCCAACCCGCTAGCCTTCTTTCAAATCTGTCCACCACCGGGTCCCAAATTCCTACACATCTCGAAGGAGCACCCAGAGGCAAACCTAAGTAAGAAATGGGAAATGACCCAGTCCTACAACCAAGAATGTCAGCAAACATCTCAATCTCAGGGACCTCCCCAACCGGCACCAAAACACTCTTGCCCACATTCACCTTAATGCCGGAGACAACTTGAAACCAAGTCAAAACACATCTCAAATATCTAATCTGGGACACATTCGCATCACAAAGAACTAAAGTATCATCAGCAAACATCAAATGAGAGATCTCCAACTGAGAAGCAACATCCCTGCCCACCCGGAAGCCCCTCAAAAAACCCAAATCTGAAGCCTTTCTCATCAATCTACTAAGGACCTCCATCACAAACAAGAACAAGAAGGGAGAGAGAGGATCCCCTTGTCTCAAGCCCCTTAAGCTAGAGAAAAAACCGGAAGGAGCACCATTAACAAGAATCGAAAACCGAGCACTGGAAATGCAAAAGTGAATCCATCTCCTACACCTATCACCGAACCCCATCCTCTCCATCAGATAAAGAAGGAAGCTCCAACTCACATGGTCATATGCCTTCTCTATGTCCAGCTTACAAAGAACACCTGGGACCCCACTACGCAGTCTGGAGTCCACACACTCGCTTGCAATAAGAAGTGAATCCAAAATCTGACGACCTCCGACAAAAGCATTTTGAGAATCCGAAATGATGCCATCCATAACTTTCCTCAGTCTAGAAGCTAGCACCTTGGCTATCAACTTATAGATACAACCCACCAAACTAATAGGGCGAAAGTCCCTAACATCCAACGCCCCCCCTTTTTTCGGAATAAGGGTAATGAACGTGGCATTCAAGCTTTTTTCAAACGAACCCCGAGAATGGAAAGCATGAAGAGTGCCCATCACCTCCCCTTTGACCACCTCCCAACACTCCAAAAGAAATTTCATGGTAAAACCATCGGGACTTGGGGCTTTATCCCCATTACAACTCTTCAAAGCAAACAGAACTTCCTCCTCAGAAAAAGGCAACTCCAAACCCAAGCACTCCTCCTCAGAAATAGAGTCAAACTGTAACCCTTCAAGCAAAGGTCTCCACTCAACAGTCTCTGTGAACAACTTCTCAAAGAACTCTGAAAATTCTTTGCAGATCTCTTCTTCCTTACAAAAAACAACCCCTTCAACCCGAATCCTCCCTATGTGATTGCCTCTTCTATGAGCATTGGCCAATCTGTGGAAAAATTTAGTATTTCTATCTCCCTCCTTAAGCCACAAGGCTTGAGATTTTTGCCTCCACGAGATCTCCTCCATGATTGCAATCTCAGTATACTCCGCCTTACACTCCGCCCTCCTAATCTTCAAAGCCTCCACCAAATCCCTTTGACCCTCCATCCGGTCAATAGCCGCAATCTCAGCTAAGACCCGATTTTTCCTCCATTCCAGATTCCCAAAGACCTCTTTATTCCAAGTCTTAAGTTTCACCTTTAAAAGACGCAATTTGCCTGCGAGCACATGACTAGGGGTGCCAGCCACACCATACCCCTCCCACCAAAGACGGACCCTCTCCAGAAAGCCCTCAGCCCGCAGCCACATATTCTTGAATCTGAAAGGAGAACGTCTACTACACAGTCCCCCACAATCTAACATCAACGGAACATGGTCAGAGATAGGACGAGCCAAAGTAGTCTGGACAACATCAGAGAACCTCTCCTCCCACTCCCCTGACACCAAGAATTTGTCAATCCGAGAGAGGGTAGGGGGAGAGCGGCCACTTGACCAAGTAAACGGACCTCCAACCAAGGGCAAATCAATCAGCCCAAACTCATCAATAAACTCCGAGAAAGCCTCCATATCAGACGTCCACCTACCTCCCGTTGACCTCTCAAACGGAGAACGAACAACATTGAAGTCCCCTCCAATACACCAAGGCAAACACCATTAACTTCGAATCTCCCCCAATTCCTCCCAAAGCAAGTGGCGCTCACCGTCCTCTGAAGGACCATAAACACCCGAAAGAATCCAATGAACTCCATCCTCAACTAAAGCAAGAATGCAAGAAACAGAGAAACGCCCAACCTTAGCATCCACTTTAGACACCCATCTGTTGTCCCACAAGATCAAAATGCCCCCCGAGGAGCCAATAGCATCCAAATCAACCCACTCCACAAATCGCCCCCCCCAAAGACTCCTCACAATCCTATCAGACATCGAAGCCAGTTTAGTCTCCTGGAGACACACCACATGACCCCTACTTTTACGAATAACCGACTTCACCACTTTCCTTCTAACCGGATCATTGAGACCCCGGACATTCCATGAGAGAATTTGTAGCTTCATAGGGAAACACTTGGAAAAGCAAATCCTCCCCTCCTTCCACCACCTCTCCCTTCATTGATTATTGCCTTCATATGTCTATGTTTTACAATACCTTTACATGTGTGTGTTTTATTATCAGGATTAGTTAAATGCATATTTCAATTATAGATCAAGATTAGTTAAGTGAATATTTCAATTTAAAATTTTTGACTGTTCCAATAGTCAGTTCTCCAGGGACTAAATTTTTTCATGAGAATGTATGTTGACTGATTTTTATTACATCATCTTTTTGTATATTTCTTTTTCTTGTATGGAAGTTCTTTCACCAAGTATATTGTAGTGTATAATGTATTTTCAGTGACTTGATAATTTTTAAAAAATTATAATTTATTTTCAGTATCTTGATAATTTAAACTACACGGTGTTTAAATTACTCAACTTGGGAATTTATTTAAATTTTTTAAGTTCAGCTAAACGCTCATCTGGAAGACTCTCAAGAAACTATACCTGTCAAAGGACACTATTCATGGAAATGTATATCAGATGCTTATAGCTTTTTGAGGCACTGAACTTAAAACATATGTTGCACACATGGTATTTGCAATTGTTTTAAGTCATCTTTGTCCTTTAGCATGTAATTTGTAACGTTTAAGTTTCGGGCGTTTCAGCAATATTGACCCTTATCCTTGAGTTGGAAAGGCATGAATATGTAATCACCATTCACCAAAATGATAAAGATAGCCCTTTGTTTGCTTTTCAACAGTGCTGTAGCTGGTACTGATTAGGTCTTGTTGGATTTATTCTCAATTATATTATTGAATGCTTAAAGAACCATCATACCCATCATTATATGGTAATACTGAATTTTCAATATAGTTCAGAGCCAACTTCACCCGGCATTATATGCAGCGGTGTAAATGTGAAGGAAGTAATTGCACAAGGTTGCATTTGTTGAATTATGGTTGTTAAGGATGGGTAATAGTTAGTTTTTTTCTATTATCACAATCTATACTATTTGTGTGTGTATTTGGCAACTTTCAGTTCCAAATATATGGATTTCTCAAGACTTGCTGTATTATTGTTGTCACTTTTCAGGGATTATAGCAGCTATAAAATGCAGGGAGGCAGAGGAGGCAGGGATCCTTTCTCTGGTTCTGGCGATCCTTTTGCTGCCTTAAGGGGTTTTAGTGGATTTGGTGGTCAAAGGAGTTTATTATCTAGTTTTTTGGGAGGAAGGGATCCATTTGATGATACTTTCTTTACACGCCCATTTGGAAGTATGTTTGAGTCAAACATCTTTGGTCCTAGTGGAAGTCCTTTTGGTCCTAGTGGAAGCCCTTTTGGTCCTAGTGGAAGTCCTTTTGGTCCTAGTGGAAGTCCTTTTGCAGACTCCCGTGCATCTGGATTCCTTGAACATCAAGGCCCCCAGACCAGTACATCTAGGGGACCAATAATTGAGGAATTGGACTCTGATGGTGAAAAAGATGAAGAAGGTAAGGAGGAGAATAAAGATAATCCTCGAAAGCATGGGAGGTCAAGCAAAGATCCTTATTATGTTGAGGATCCGGATGATGCAGGTGAAGGTGATGTCTGACTCCTAATGTTTAACTAATAATGCTTTTATTTTTTCTTCTGTTTTTATTGTTATTACCTACTTTGAAAGTGATTAATGTCTTCGTGTTGCAGAGAGGAAGAGCAAGCAAATGCAGCACAGGAATGACTTCAACAGGCTGAACAATGCACGCTCACAGCCCCAAACTCATACCTTCACCTTTCAGAGCTCTACTGTTACTTATGGTGGAGCCAATGGGGCAAATTACACCTCATCTAAAACGAGGAGAATAGCAAGTGATGGAGTAAGTACTTTTAGCATAGCTGCAGAACACATCAAATTTTTTGGGTTTCCTCTATTTCTTATGTTGTGGTTTTGGATTTCCAGTTAACATTTGAAGAAAGAAAGGAAGCTGATACAGCTTCTGGTCAAGCAACTCATAACATCTCTAGGGGAATTTATGATAAGGTACCTTTTTAATCTTGTCTATGATTTTTTGTTAAATTTTTCTTTCGATATTCATTAAATCCAACAGGCTTCACTCTGGGTTTGATACATTTATGAGATGGAAACACTGTAGTTATCTCTAGAATGCAAGAATAACATTGATTTTTTATGCTGTAGGGCCATTCTGTTACAAGAAAGCTTAATTCAGATGGTAGGGTGGACACAATGCAAATGTTGCACAATCTTAACGAAGGTATTGTCACGTTGTAAGTTGTGATATACTGTGTGGGTAGGAAATTGTTGCCAGTGGTGACTAACCAAATATCCTCTTTTTTGGGAAAAAAAAATGTATCAGATGAGTTGGGTGGATTTGAAGATGCTTGGAATCGAAAAGCTAGAAAGCATCTACCTGGTTGGACCGAGGGGGCCAATGTTATAACTGGTAAAGTTCCTTTGCTGCATTAGCCACGTGCTCTTGTGGCGCGTGCGCGTGGGTGTGTTGTCAATGTTTTAATTGCCATGTTCACCAAGGTTTTTGTTTATTCTGGTGTGTTCATTTTCTTCCTCGGATTTTCCTTATAAATTTTAATGACTTATAATTGTGGAATTTCCTTGACGCACAAAAACACATATAACCTGATGGGGTGCCTCATTTCCATATGAATATCTCCAGGCATGTGGGTGGCCCATGGTTAGTGTCTCTTATGTGGTGGGATGGGGTGTTTGCATGTAATAGTATGTCCCACAATAATGACGCCATCACTAAAGCTGTGCCATTTTACCTTGTCTATCATACTCATCAAATGCCAGATGTGAGAAATTTCTTACCCAAGATGAGTACGGTAGCTAAGCATGTAACCCACATGCTATATGGCATTCTTGGTTCAGCGCTATCACTGGAACAATGACAATTTGACTAGAGTAATGTCATCATGAGAGCCCTTTCATGACAAAAGGCATGAGCTCTCCTTATTTAACCACTGGATTGAGACAGTTTTTTGAAAGTGTGAAAAGTCAAATGAGTTATTTAATAAATCTTTCAATTCATCACTTATCAAATTTTTTTTTTTTTTTTTTTTTTCAATTCATTGGTTAGACAAGGAGAGTTCACCATGAGAGGGCTGTCATGATGGCGTTACTCATTTGACTAACTAGAATGATGGGCTAGTCATTCATTTCAGACATTGTTTTTGACATCCACGTGTCAATGTACAGTCTTGTTAAGGATTTATGCAGGTCTTTCCAACTGATAGTTGTTCCCAAATAGTCTATGTTTCTTGATGTTTATGAAGAGCTTTTGAGAAATTGAAGCTACTGCTTGATTATTGGATGTTTGGTTTTTTTTTTTTTCTTTTTCTTTTTTGTTGTTGCAATAGCAATAAAAATAGCACCAAAACTGCATTATGCTTGGAAATGCATGTGCACCATGATATTCCAGTAGGCAGGAGTTCATTAGCTAATTTTACATGCGATAAATTTGATATACATCATGACACTTGTTTTACAGCTGTGATTCTCTGTGGTTGCACATGGAGCTGCTGCTTTGGAGTTGTATGTTAACTGAGGCATACTGATTGCAAACTGTTTTTGTGCAATTTCTGCTTCAGGTTCTGATGGCAATGAACACGATGCAGTTGCAAGAAGGGGTGGTTGGGCTCTTCCTTCAACCGAGCGAGCTCAACACTCGGGGATTATGAAACCAGATGTTGGACAAACAGTAGGCTCCTCTCGTTCAAAACAGTCTGGGAAGATGAAAGCAGATACTAGAGTTAGGAAAGGTTCTTCTTCAGTGAGGGCCGGAGCTGCTAATGGTATCAACATGGATCAAGTTAGCAGGCATTAAAGAGCTGCTGCTATTGCTATGATTCTCGTTTGTCGACGGACTCTAGTTCTAAAGAAGCAGTTTTTATATCTGATGTCATTGTACTCTAGGGTGGACATTTTATATTCCATACACCATGGTAGCATATATTCATCAGCTGAACTAGTCGTTCTTCTTGTTGGCATATTAAATAATTGTAGTCGGTCTCTTTGAATGTGTACTTTTCGTGTTTGTTCGAGTAAGAAATCAATTAAGTTGGTTGAGAATGCCTTATTATTTCTGCCCATTGTGATTTTTATTCCAGTGCTGTTTTGGGCATAATTATGCTGTACACAGGTCTTGTACTCAATATCTGGAGTTTCGAACTGTATTCGAAAAGCTGAAACACGTGCACTCCATATCTGGAGTTTCGAACCGTATTCGAAAAGCTGAAACACGTAGCTCGTTAGAGAATCTCCTTGTATAATGATCTAGTTTTGCGTTAGAACTGCGACCCAAATTCCAAATGATTTGCCGGAAAGGAAAAGGAAAGGAAAAGTAATAATCTCCTTGTATAATGATCTAGTTTTGCGTTAGAACTGCGACCAAAGGAAAGGAGAAGTAATGAGGGAGGGGAAATGACAAAATTTAACAATGCTAGAGTTGGTTCTTCCATGTAATGTGTGCACTCATGAACTCCTAAAGTCTGCCTTCATTTTAAATAGTCCAAGCCTGCATACACAAATAACAAACATGTGCACATGTACACTAGAACTAGAAACATAAATGAAGAGAAACACATTGCTCTTTAGTTTATTTTCATTAAAAGTTAGCTGTACAACTCAAATCCTCATGATAGGCCATTCAAGGAGAGAAGAAAATTGAATAACAAATCAGGAGGAAGTAAATTATGTTTCATTTACATATCAAACCAAAGATAATAAAAGGAAAAAAAAGAATTGTATATCAAATCTAGTATTAATTTGCTGATGCTGTATGGAACGTCCTTCGGATGACATATTCCTCACCTGACTGTTGATCAATGTGCTTGATCCATCGCCCTTGACCCTCGCCTGAACCCGAACTCCCCCCACCGGTTGCTACATGTGCGATGTCCAGTCCCTTCCCTACCGGTAGAAACACAGAGCGCATGAGGCGTGATCCACCATCAATAACACTAGGCCATCCAAAATCCGAACCACTTCTTGAGCTAGCATTCTTGCACACCAAAACTGCACCACGGTGGCCTAATTTTGCTACCCTCAGTATTCTTGCATAGTCACTATGCCTGCAGTCCACAACCAAGAAATCTATACCTATCAACCCTCCCACGACTTCCTCCGGCTCACCAACCTTGACCTCCGGTGACATGCCGGCCTTTTCCATGGCCTCGATGTACTCTAACTTCGACTCTTCATCTGGGACTATGCATACGTGTCTTCCACAGGTGTGACGGCTCGCTATGTCTAAGCCAATGCTTGTGGTGGTAACTCCACCCTGTGACCATGTTTCGACTATTAGTTTTACATTCCACCCTGCAGCCATGGCTGAAATAAGCTCTGCTACACTAGAATGTTGAAAAAGTTCACACTGCAGTTCAAGATCAAACGAGTCAATATTAGACATGAAAAGCAAAAAACCAAAAATATCATCCATATATCAATCTGTGAATATAAATTTGGAGAGTTGCTTACGGATTTGATAGTGTCTATATAAGCCTTGGTTGCTGTGTCCGGAGACCAAACTAGTTTCATCTTTTCTTATTCTTAGCTCTTGACGGAGCGGAAGCTATGAACGTTTATTAATTTGACAAGGAACGACTTTGAATCCACAAAGGTAAAAGATGTATTTATAATAAAACGATTCAAACATATAAGGAAACAAACAATACAAGGTAACGCATAAGGAAACTAGTAGCATAAGAAAACTGACATACATCAGCTCTTGTATAAATTGGTCTTTCTTGTTCTTCAAGTTGTGTGTTTGTCTTTAGTTGCAGAAGCTAAATGATGGTGTGTAGAAGATGTTGATGTTGATGTTGATGTTGTTTATTGGCTAGGTTTTTAAATGAAAGAGAAAGTGAGGCAAGAAAGAGTTGACATTTTTATCCGCGCAAATCCAACGTGTGGATTTGGATTACAATGGACTTGTAGATGGTTTTGCCAAACAAACAAAACCTAGAATTGGCAACTTTCCAAGTCAATCTGCCTCCTCTGCAATTAAAAAAGGGCTGTGTCTCAATCCGGTTCCCCTATATAATTTAGAAAGAATGATACCCAATTCTCTGCCTCCGCCAAATACTAGAAATCAAAGATTGGAATAACATACATAGTAAATGTAAACGTGATTACAGTAACCGGGCGGCTCAATCTAATTTGTTACCTTAGGTCAAAAATAAAAAAAGTGTCTTCTTCAACAATATAAATAAAATTAGTCACAACTCAAAAACAAAATATACAAATATATGTACACACAAATTTATAATAACAAAAGTTAATAAAATTTAAAAATAATTAAAGAATAAGAACCATTGAATCTAATTTAGAAAATCCAAATCTAATACTTCTACAAATTTTTCAATACAATAAAAATACCTTCATAACAACTATAAACTTTCTTTTTAGTGCTAGTGTAAAAAACGTGAATGAGAGAAAGAAAAAGGAAATTTTTTTTTTTTTTTAATTTAATGATATAATATTTTGGGCTCAATATTAAATTTCTATATTGGTTAGGATTTATTGTAAAACGTGAATAAGAGTAGAAAAAAGGAAAATAAAAAAAGTCATATAAGGATATAAATCTTTGGGGCCAATATTAAATTTATGTATCACTTAGAGTTCAACGGAACCGAAGGATATAAATATTTGAGGCCTAATATAAAATCGGAATGAATGAGCAGAGTGAGAAAAGAGAAAAAAAAGTTATTTTAGGATTTAAATATTTGACGCCTAATATAAAATTGAAACCAGTGGGTTAGACAAAAAAAAAAAAAAAAAAAAAAAAAAAAAAATCTATTTTAGGATATAAATCTTTGAGGCTAATATAAATTTTTTATATTCATTAGAGTTTAACAATATTAGAAAATAATTATAATATAACTTAGTATAAGAAATTTTTAAAATTTTGAAACCTTTTCTATTGGCTGGGCCTTAGGCGACTGCTCGAGCCGGCCCAGGATTACACCACGTGCAATATGCTTTGTAACTTTGTTAACCATTATTTGTGATGAAACCCTAGTCTTCAAAGAATCTCTCATTCCAACATGCAATAGTCTTCAAAGAATCTCTCATTCCAACCTTCCAGAAAGTCTATTCAATGTCAGTTTTAACGGGCTGCATCCTTTGTAGTCTGGGGTCCCTGATTCCATGTCATCCTCTGCACTTGTAAATCAGTCATACAATATGTATTACATTACAAATACAACAAACTATAGTATGAAAAACAATGTAAGAATTATATAATCTATATACATCAACATTTATATAAAATATTACGTCATATTATATAACAGTACAAAATCATTAAATCTAAAATTTAATATATTTACGTCATTAATTTGTAAATTTAAACTCACACAACCAACGCAAGACCAAAAATATCATTCTTTAAACCTTCTTATTTTACTCTTGTCGTAGTAATTAAAACACATTTATTGTATGGCAAGTGAATGGCATTCAAGTACAACACACTTATTTTGTTGTTGTGCCATGGCAGTTGTAATTTTGGAGAAGAGTGGCATTTTGGTTAAGCTAAAAAATATTCCGTTAATCCCGTATTAAATGTCTATATTTAGAAATTAAATTTTTTAAAAAAGACAAACAATTAATACATTATCTCTTTTTAAAATAATCAATTTGTTCTTTATAATATATATATATAGTTACTCAGTTTGAATTTTTTTAAAAATATAAAAGATAAAGGTAAGAAGATAAAATTTATTTATTTTGACTTTTTAAAATAGAGACATCTAAAAACGAGACAAGTAATAAAAAAGAGACGGGCGGAGCCCATAAAAGTAGGAAACATGGAGAAGCAAAAATGAATTGTCAAATAGTGACTAGATGACAGGTTGGGTCCACTGTATCCGTCTGATCTTAAGCACATTAGACGTTGATTTTTATATTCCCGAGCATCAGCGTTGACTTCAAACCACGCTCATTGGTCGGCCTGGTCGCCACGTTATGTTGATTTGTACAACGTAATACCAATTAGACTGGGAAAATGTTTTCAACCCCAACATTTGATTGAATGTTGGGCTTTGATGATCGACTAGTCAGACTATCTTGTCTATCAACAAGGTGGTAGTATATACATGAGAGTATGTATGTGTATATATATATATGTGTGTGTGTAATTTAAGAAAACAATTAAATTTGTAATGGAATAATATTTTCTTTAACAATTACTTCCTTTTTAAACAAAGCCTCCATTTGTGTCTTATGTTAATCAGATCAAAATCCCATGACTCATTCAAGATCAAGACGTACTCCTCGTGGAACATATCCCTGACGACTACAGTACTATTCGGATTGGCATGCAGTTAATTACTAATTAACCACAAAATAAAATCCTGTATTTTTCTTTTTCTTTTTTATTCAAGACATAATAAAATCCAGTTTGCATTTTTTTTGTTCAAAAAGATTTGGGCAAATAAAAATTAATCGACATATCTATCTATACACCATCTCAAAATTATTTCTTATAGTTTGGTGGCCTCTCTTTCCTTGTTGGCTTGTGCATCCCTTATTCAAATTCAACATTCGGCAGCTTGACACCTTAATTTAACGGCCAAAATATTAGTCTGTTAAATGAAGTTGGCTTGTTACTGGGCTGGGCTTTTGCTCTTTAGTTGTTATGGCCATTGGCCTTTCTGGGTCCTGCCTTAATGGGTCTGTTTGCCTTTATTGGGCTGCTCTGGCTGCCTCCTTTGTAAATTTCTATCTTTATTTATACATTGCTTAATCTTTCACAAAAAAAAAAAAAGAGGAAGGAAGGAAAAATTCTTACATTTAAGAAAGGGTGGGAGCAATTGAAAATGACACATTAAAAAAGGATATCATTGTAGAGATATACAAAATCAGAAAAATAAATAAAAGCTCCAAGTCAAAGGTGATTCTTGTCAATTTGATTTATTAATTTAATTTTCTTGACAAAAAAAATTGTTTTAATTTTCTTAGGGGATGAAACGTAAATGATTTGTTGGCGCACCCGGGGGGAAATAACATGCTATAAAAGATAACCATAATAAAGAGAAAAATATGATCATTTCAACATGGTATTTTGAGTGAATTAATGGTCTACATTTTAAGATATTAATCAAGTTCTAGTTGTGTTTCTATTTGTAAATTATGGGAAGTGAAATAGGAAAACAATTTAAATTCAATGGCACAACTACAATCTAAGGAAATGTAATTATAAAATGAAAGACGCAATAAAGGGTAATTTTGTCTTTTAGTATAAAATAAGGGAGCCATTTTGAGACACCGTCACCTATATTAGAGATTTCTATGCTTCATTCAGGAATTTGATCGAACACATACCAAGCTCCTTTCGTCGGAATCATACCAACAGCTTCAGAAGCACAATACACGTGGCAAAAACCCAGAAGCCCCCAGTACACGTGTCAACAACCCACCGCCACCATAGCCACCCCTCTTTCCCACCCTTTGTTCCACAGCTTCGTCTTCAACATCAAGCTCACAGACCAAACAAACAAAGAAACCCAACATGCACCGTTTCAAACCCTTTCACCAAATCCCCAAATCCCTTCATCGCACGACCTCAAAACACTTTTCTACGCAACAAACCCATCTCGACAATGTTGGTCCCATGGCGTCTCTCCTCAAGACTCGAGCAGTAATTCAATTCCGAGGCCCAGACACCGTCAAATTCCTTCAGGGTCTGTTGACCAACGACGTACGGAAGTTCGGTGAACCCGTCGGCGAGCAGACCTCGACTCTGGTGACGCCAAACGTGCCCTTCGTGTCGATTCCACCGATGTACGCCGCAATGTTGACGCCTCAGGGTAGGTTTCTTTATGATATGTTCTTATACAGACCGCCTAGGCCTGATGAGAAGCTTGACAAATCCGGGTCTGGTCCCGGACCCAACCCGGGTGAATTGGAGCTACTCGCTGATGTGGATAGTTCTGTATTGGATGAGCTCTTAGAAACACTAAAGAAGTAAGCTCTATCTTTGATTGTATATGGTATATATATGCACTCTCTATATTTGATAATTTTGAATGCAGATCTCTGAAGTGTGAAACTAGCCTTGATTTTTATTAATTGGTTGTTAAGTTTAGAATTGTAGTGATCCAAGTCGAGATGTGTGTTTGTGTAGTGTTTGCATCATAAGGGTTCTCATTTTTTATTTTTTATTCCGTTTTTTCCCCAATGAATGTAGTCAGAGAGATGACAATACAATTAGGATAGTTTTAGTTTTTTGTACATTGTTATGGTGTTTATAGGTTCAACTACTGTGAACAAACAGTGAGTGATGGATAATTGTGATGAAATTCCCTATCTTTTCCCATTTGGGTTGCTTTGTTTCTAAAGAAGGTGTTGTCTTTTAAAGGTTTGTGCTGTTTGTTTTGGACTTTTGGTTTAGGGTCTGTGGTCTAGCTCAATGTCTTTGTTTCCTATGTTGCATTCACTTGTGATTGTCAATGGGATGCAAGAAAAGAGATGAAGGGTGGAAAGAAATTTTCTGTTTATGATTCCCTTTATTCCTTATGTTTTCAACTGATTGGGAACAAATGTGGCTGAAGAAGATTTAGTTTAATTTGGAATTTGGCCAATTCGAGTCTCAAACTCTCAATTAGGATATGGTTGCTTCTATCATATTGGTAACGATAGCATACTTCACTTTTGAGATGTCAAGAAGAAAAGTAGGTTCGGGGTCGGTGTGATTGGTTAAATATATGATGCTTGATTCCTCCTTCATATTATCCCTTTCTTGCTGTCCTAATGCCATTCGTTACTTTAGCAAGATTATGGGATATTAATAATCATTTAAACTCACTCTGTTAGATATTCACATTCTCTGTTTGGATTTTATTTATTCCAATATTACACATGTACAATGTTTACTGTTTGAGATGGGGAGAGAGATTTGGAAAAAAACAGAATTAAATAGGAAAAATTGGATAGTCTTTATACATGAGTGAGTTACCTGTTCCCTCCTGAAGGTGTAATAAGTGGTGTAAGAACTACCTTACCTGATGGGAAGTGATTGATTAATAATATCAGGAAAAAGTGGAATCCTCTGACGAATATGCACTACAGTATTATGATTATTATTAACATAATGTGACAATTGAGACACCTTTGTAACCTAAATTAGCTTGGAGAGGTCTTACTCCTGTCATGCCTGAGATATCACAACAACATTCTTTAATTAAGTAGAGAAATAGATGGAAGTTGTGAAACAGGCTATTGATAAAAAAATTTAAAAAATGATAAATGTTGATCAGCCTGAACTCTTCCAGCATCACTTACTCCCCCTGCCCCTGCCTCTGCCCCTTTTTGAAGGTTAAGAATCCTCAGGGAAGGCGATCTGCTAATTTTAAAGACGAAAGTTATATCAGGTAAGTTTTTAACATAAATTAATCAGCCCGAACTCTTCCAGCAGCAGTTACTTGGACGCAGAATTGCGTATACCTACAAGGTGCACTTGTGTTTTGTATCTGTGCTTGGGCTGCGTTGTATTTAGTGGTAATCTGGAGGACTCTGTCAGTTAGGATGATTACAAAACACATATAAACTATGGCAAAATAAACTAAGTAATTTTGTTATTGAAAAGTTCACGCAAGAAGTAGAATATTAATTGGGGAATAATGAAGCTTTCTATCCAAGCTCTAATTCAAGAAGATAATTCTGTGTGTGTGGGTGTGTGTGCGAGTTTGTGGATGTGCATGCATGCTCATGTCTTGATGTACTTGGGGGATGTTGTAACAATTGTTTGGTAATGCCACGAGTAGAAGTGAATGGCGATGACCAATGAGAACTTGTCTTGGGCCTTCACACAAATTCTATAAATATTATCTTCTAAAATAAAGATTCCCAAGCCAAAAATCTTGTTTGCTTGCACTTATTCAAATACTTGACATTTTTTTCCCTTTTAAAACTTCTTTTCATTACTTCCATCACATGAACGTCATGAATATGTCCAACAACAGTAATGTGGCTAATGTTTATGCCACTTTATATATGATGTGTTAGGCAACTACTTGCACAGCCAGTCAACCTTCACCTGATTGCCTAGCCGCCTAGGCATTTTGATAAATGTGATGTGTCCCCCATTTTTATGACTTAATTTGTTCGACACATTTTGCTTTGAAATGGTGAAGCCTACATCTTTGTTTGGGATAAAATTGCTTCTCGTTACTATTTTCTGATGGAACTTTGTGTGCCATGGTGTTATAGATACCGGCTGAGGTCCAAGGTCGATATTGAGAACGTTGCTGAAAAATTCTCTTGCTGGCAACGGTTTGGTGGGAACCTTTCAGAAAGCTCCCCATCTTCAGAAGAACCAGAAGCTGGTTCTGTTGGTTGGGGTGGCACTGTTGATTGTGCTGGCGTATCAGCTTCACGAGGAAATAATCTTGGATGGCAATGGTATAGCGACCCGAGATTGGATTGCCTTGGATTTAGGGGAATTTTTCCATCTAATACAACTCGTGAGTTTCTTTCATTCATTCCAAAATTTGTGCATGTTATAATTAGCATGCAGTTTAGTAGTTTCCATTAGTAGCTGAGAAGCACATCATGTTTCACCTTATGAGCCTTCTTGTTGTTATATGAGCACAAGCATGTTATCTGTTGCAGCACCTTTGGTTGAGGATGACAAGGAAACAGATGAACAAAATTACCTTCTCTGGCGATATATGAAGGGGATTGCAGAAGGCTCAGCTGAGATCCCGAAAGGTACAGCTTTATTTCTTCTGGATCGTGTACACTATTTCCCTTCTACGCTCCTGTATATTTTTTAATCATGCAGAAATTCTTTCTATAAACTACAATTCTCTTTATACCCATATTAAGGAATCTGGCGGGGAGAATTTATTTCTCAATCTTCTCCTGACAATTTAAGGAGTCTGTCTATTTGCATGCAGCGACTATGAGATCTCTTTTATGTCTATTTGATGTGGAACATGGAGGCACAGTTCCTTGGCAGTAAAATTAATTGACTCTCTATGATTTAAATCTTCAAAGTTAGACTTCTGATCTGCATTTGTAACTACCCTGTTCAGGTGAAGCTATTCCACTTGAATATAATCTTGCGGGTTTAAATGCTATAAGCTTTGACAAAGGTTGCTATGTGGGCCAAGAACTCATCGCTCGTACGCATCACAGGGGAGTCATTCGTAAACGTCTGCTGCCTCTGAAGTTCCTCAATGATAGTGGAAAAGGTAAAAGAGTTCTTTCCATTTTGGCTTCGATAATGTTAATTTATGCAATGTAACACTATGCTTTTCCTCGTTCAGATGTGAAGCAGAAAGTTACTCGGGGATCAGATGTAGTTGATGCTGCGACTGGCAAGAAGGCTGGGGTCGTGACTGCAGCACTCGGAAGTCGAGGTCTGGGTGTTCTGAGGTTGGAGGCAGCCTTTAAAGGGTCAGGCACCTTGACCATACAAGGACTGGAAGATGTGAAGGTTGAAGCCATTAGGCCAGAATGGTGGCCTGCCGAGTGGTTTCTAGAGCATCAACAGCACAGTGCTGCTGCTTAGAAAATGTTTTATGTATAGGACAAATGCTCTCTCTCATGGACTTGGAGAGTCCTGCAAGACTTGGCCTTATGCATCCAAAAGGTTAAAAACTCTAGAGCTTACTTATCTTACATGGGAAAAAAATAAAATAAAGGAAGTTCTTTTGAAAGACCATTCATGATATTGTAGTTTTATATGTACGTTTTAAGCAGTGCAATGCACTACATGATTTATTTATTTATTTTTTTTAACCAAAGGTAAAATTTCAGATGGTTGCTGTGGTGTGAGTTGAACGATATGCTGATAAGTTATGTGCTTTATCTATGTATAGTGTTTATTGTTAAATTATTTCAAATGAGAGCAATGGAATCAGCAACTACATTTATTGATAAACAAACAGCCGTAACAGTTACAACCCTTTTCCATGAAAACCAACACATCTGTACACTCCGAGTAGGCTGTCCTCGGTCCTCTGCAAAAGGACACAGCATATACAAGGCAATTTGGGTTTGGAGAGGAAGGGGGGTTGTTATTTCCTGGTTCACCATCTTTGGCAGTTCTCAAGTCGGAAAAATAGATGCAGGGCCTTCATGAAGTAGGACCACATTTGCGCAGTTCTTCAATCACTACATCCATTGTTGGCCTGTTATCTGGAAGCTCATGGGTGCAAAGCAGCGCAATTTCTACCAGCTTAGATGCCTCGAATTCGGAGAATTTTCCCTGGAGATTTGAGTCGATAAAGTCTTCGAATCTGCAAGATTCAGCAGCTAGTCGCATTGAGCAAGTGAGTTTTCGCTCACCGGAGAGGATCTGGAGGATGATTACTCCAAATGCATATACATCACTCTTTACTGTAAAACGCCCAGTGGTAATGTATTCAGGAGCCATATATCCCAACGCAGCGCTGACCTTGAGGGCTGAGAAGACAACATCGTCAGCAAGGAGATGGAGGAGACCAGAATCCAAAATTAATGGGTTAAATCGCTGGTCGATAAGGACTTTCTCCACAGATATGTTTCGGTGAACTAGTCCAGGTTTGCTTGGTTCACTGCTGTGTAAATAACCAATACCTGGTTGAAAAGAACCACAATTATCAATGTCAAACACCAAATGGACACAACATGTTTCTTGACTCTAGACTCCAGTGCATAACACCTTCACCTGATTATCAAGGACATGACTGCTTGTAATAGAAAAGGAAAACGATGAAGAATGATAGTAGGGTAAAACCAACCTCTTGCAATGCCACTAATAATAGAAACCCTTGTGCTCCAGTCAAGGACATGACTGCTTCCACCTTCCACATCAAGGTACTGTGACAAGTTTCCTTTAGGAGCAAAATCATAGATCAAAAAACACTCTCCCCTGGCTTTCGAACAACAAAATCCTCTCAGCCTAACAAGGTTTTCATGTTTTAGAGACGTCAGTAATTTCAACCCTTTCATGAATTCCATTTCGTCGGACTTGCAGCAGGTTTTAGTAATGCTCCTAATGGCTACAATAGAACCATCTTTCAGAATCCCTTTGTACACAGCAGAGAAATTACTCTTCTTCCCCAACAAATTCACACCTGAGAAGTACTGAGTTGCTGACTCAACATCTTCCAAATTGAACTTAAAGCCCTGCAGAAACTCCTGAGAGACTGCATTACCATTTCGGCCCTCAGCTAATGGACTGCATCCATCACAGTAATCAAGACTCACCAATGGTGAGGGACTTCTCCTGTAGATTTCCTTGGTTTGATCAGTGCTTAGCCCACCTTCAGAAGCATCTAAAGTGCTTCCAATCTTCTGTTTCCCCCTTCGGTACCAAATAAAAACTAGGAACCCAACAACCATTAATGTGATAGTGAGTATTATAACCCCTGCAACAATGGCGACTTGTGTGAGCCTTTTTGAATTTGAACAATGGCTTTGGTTGCAATGTTTGTGGACATCGGCAGACTCGGGGATAGGAGCAGTATTGTTTGGCACAGGTGTTTCAACATTGTTGGTGTTTGCACCATCCAAACCAGTGCAATCTCTCAAGGAAGAAAACCCAAAACCACATAAGCCTGGATTATTTTTACTCCGGAATCCTCCATTCAATCTCTTCAAAGCTTCATGTTTATTCATTAAAAACTTACAATCAGTTCAAATATAAATCCAAATGAGAAGTAAAAGGGGAAAAGAGAGAGGGAAAAAAAGTGCATTGTAAAGAGGTCGGTTTGATCAATGTAAGCAAGAAGCAACCAACTTTACCAGGAGGGACAACTCCAGAGAGGGAATTGTTTTGAACATCTAGAACTTCCAGTTGTGGAATATTAGCTAAGCTTGCAGGTATAGGACCATTTAAGCTATTATTTTCCAAATAGAGAACTCTTAGCTTCTTTAAGGAACCCATATTTGTAGGTATGTTTCCTGTCAACTGGTTACAAGATAGCACAAGAGCTGCAAAACACAATACATATCCACATAAGCTGAGATCTAAAATCCTTTAACTTTTTACAGTATATATACACACATATAAACTCAATGAAAGAACCCAGATTGCCCAGTTCAGCTAATTCAGGGAAAAAAAAAAAAACTCATTATCTACAGAATATATTTATATATCTATTAAATTCAGCCATATAGCTAATGAAAATGCATTTGTTCAAAGTGAGTAAAACTACCAATTTAAAATAAGTAAGAAGAAAATTTTCTTTCCCTTCTTTTAATTATTTAGAAATCCATTTGCACAAACCAAAGGAAACCCATAAATTTGCAATCAAAATTCAGGTCTTTAGCTGACGGCAATCCTTTGCCAATTCAAGAGAACCCAACTGAGTAAATCGAAAATAATCACAGAATTTTCACTTCACCCAGTTCCCACAAAAACCTCACAACCCAACATTGCTGAGTGAAAGAGCATATAAGAAAAACAGCATTTTTACTACATTTTAAACATAAATTATAAACTAACCTTGAAGACTAGCCATTTTTCCAATCTCAGGAGGTATTGTTCCAGAGAGGTTATTCACATCAAGATAGAGGTCAGACAATTCAGTGAGATTTGATATTTCTTTGGGTATTTCTCCATACAGAGAGTTGTAATTCAAGTAAAGACCTGACAAGCACTTCAGTCCGGCCAACGCCGGTGAAATCTTGCCGGAAAGTTTCTTTTGTACTAACGAAATGTTAGCCACTTTACGGTGCTCGTTGCAAGCAACGCCGTCGAATGAGCCACTACACGGGTCACCGTCGCTGGTCCATGAGGAGAGGTACTTGTTTTCTGGGTCCAGAGATGACTTTATCTCCATCAGAGCTCTGAGCTCTGTATTTCCACAAACAGTTTGTAGACAGAAGAGAAAAATAAGAAAAACAGAGGTGAGAAAGGAATCAGAGAAACCCATTTCGGGTTTGGTATCAAGACACTCTAACAGAGCTTGTCTCTCTAAATTCTGAAAGTCCAAATTCTCTGTGAAGACGCTCTATTCATGTATATGTATGAACTGAGTAATTGTTGTTTACTTGGACACAGGAAAGTAGATTAGATAAAGACAGAGAGAGGTACGTATTTCTCAAAGAAAAGAAGGTTAAAAGTACGACTTTTGAGTTACAAACACATGCACATGCTCTGATTTCAGAGTGGTCAACGATTACCGTTAGATCAGTTGACATTTTGACATTTTGACATTTAAAAAAGAAGAAAAAAAAATAAGTAACTGTATTTTAAGTGTTTGGTTAAATGTTTTTATGGAGTAGTTGCGTCAATTTTGTTTAGGTCCCAATTGCGTTGATTTAAAAAAACACGAGAGGGTGTTAGGGTTTGTGGTGGGGATGACTGAAATAGAGAGAGAAACTATATGCCCAAAGGCCACTACGTAAATCTTTATGTATATTGTGTGGTGCATATTTCATTTTTTGTCGGCACTTGATTGTTTTATTTGGATTTGTGGGTTTATTTATTTATTTTTTATATTTTATCATTCGAAAGGCACAAAAAGGTCAAGTCAGGAGGTAATACGAAAGCACAAATCAAACCAGATAAAGACATATAAATTATGAAGTAATACAATAAAATAAAAACAAGTTCCAAATTTATTGACAAAGAACCACCGCACTATAACGGAAAACACAAAAAAAGAAGAACAAAAAACCGAAAACAGTTTGTGGTGTTTGTGGAAACAGTTTTGATGGGTTGTAGATTGAAAATGTCAGTACACACTTTTAGTGTTGCATTGAGAATGTATACAATATCTCAATCATTATAAGTAGAATATTGCAAATTTAGGTGAACCATGTGTCATTAGTACTTGTTTTTGTCTCATCCGGTCGACCTTTTTGAGGCTGGACGCGCCTGGTAACTTTACAGAAGTTCGTATTTATGGTAAACTTTGGTACGTAGTGTCTGGTTTTTCTTCTACACATTGCTAAAAAGTAAAAACTGTTGATATAGTTGAGTTGCAGGCTTGCATGCACTCAAAACTCCACTACTAGTGATGGTGCTTTTTAGTGGCAAATGAGGCACGAGGATGGTGTCTTTGATGGTGACTTATCATCTCCTTTCACTGCACTAAATTGCATCCTCGGATACAGATACCAAACTAAAACATCGATCCATCCCTTCAATCTTTATCTTAAATTCAAAATTCCCATTTCAGAAGTTACTATCTAACATTACAATAACACCGTCACTTTAGTCGGAAATTTAGGTCTAAAACATCAGTTTATGCCTTTAGATATGTTTAAGTGAAAATTATGAATCCTACTCGAAACATATATAGCTACAAATAGGTATTGGATTTATTTTATTGGTTTAATAATCAATTTTCAGTTCACATTCAACAACTTTCTTAATAGGACATCTGTATTCGAACCCAAGTATATTGCTTCAAGTGAAAGCATGTATAGTATTATCATATGAGAGACAGTAGATAAATTGGAAAAAGATGTGCATTAAAGTAGTGCTATTTCAAATTCAATTTGCTTGTAAAATTGATAACTTCAAAATTCAAAAATCCCTGTTTTGGATTCATTCGGAAGCATCAAATTTAGGCGTCATAAACATTTTATAGGTGTCATAAACATTTTATTAGTTAACACTTGAGACACATTATCTATGACTGCATTTTATTAGTTAACACTTGAGACACATTATCTATGACTGCATTCACAATTTCCCTGGATCGCACATGTATTACTATGAAACAGACATAAAAGCATCCAATTTGACAGCAAAAGTGGCATCTTCCTTTAATAACCTATGTAGCTCTTTAGCAGTATTAGGGTGTAATTATACATTTCTATAATATATATATATATATATGTAGAGGGTGAGTCTTGACCTAATGATAAAATTGTCTTTATTGTAATCTAAAGGTTGGGTTCATAATCTAAAAATTTATCTAGTAGAGATGTATGACTAACCCTCTTCAAACCCTTCAACAACAGGAGGTCGTGTACTATTCTAACCTATTGTACATTTATATATATGTATATAGATTATCCCAATAAGTAATCTTTAACCTTGTCCGCCCTTGTGTCCAACAATGTTAAGGTGTCCTTTGTAATAATTGTTACATATATATGCAATTTACCTTCCCAATATATGTGTGTGTGTGTGTGTACACGTATATATGGGGTACCTTCCACTCATTCCTTCGTTTGAAAATTCTGAAGTCTAAGGGATGGAAACCTAACTTTGACTCTAGGTGGACATGGCCACCCACATAAGTTGACAATATTCTTGGAGTTCCATCAGGCAATAAAGATATTAGGAGTTTGAGTTTTAATTGAATATGTATATATATATTGGAGGATTATTGAAGAATTAATGACCTGTAACCGAGGTGAATAACTTTATATTTTTTAATTCTATTTTTTATTTTGAGAGCAGCTGAATGATTGAGGTACATCAGTCTTCAGATCTCTATAAAGTAGAAATGTGACAAACTCTTTTATGTCTGTTTGGTCCCAGTATAAGCTTATCTAATGCTTTCGTGGTCCTGATTAAATAGGACAAAAAGACTACTATTTTATTTATTTATCATTTGAAAGACACGAGGCCAAGTCAAGGCGGTAATTCAAAGACATAAATCATGTCAGATAAAGACATACAAATGATAAAGTAATACAATAAAATAAAGAACATGCTTCAGATTTGTTGAGAAAGAGCTACCGCTCGAGAACGGAAACTACCAAAAGAGAAGAGTAGTAATTGGAGTGACCAAAGGTTAAGCTATCAGCTCCAAAACTATATTCACAAGGTATTTCCACACACCCAACCCCACACAAGATCAAATCAAGTCAGGGAAAAACAAAAATCGACCTAGATCAGAAATCTAGCCGAAGGGAAAACAACAAATTCACTTTGTCGAGTCAGAAACAAACCAAACAAGAACAGATCTAATCGTACAAAAACAAAAAAATGATGTGAAAACTCACCCACAGGGCGAACTTATTGTGACATGTCGATGTTATTAACCTGTGGGAGGCAAGCAAGGTCACTTCCCCACTCCCATGAAAAGGAGTACAGGGCAAAACGGAAGAGTTGAGCGGCTGCGAGAGAGGGGGAAGAGAGAGAACAGAGGAAAAGGTAGAGGCGGCTCATCAACCTTCAAAAGACTACTATTCATAACCTTGGATTCCTTTAGATCTAATCCTCCATTAACACAAAAAAAAATCACACTAGTTAAATTTAAACTTTATCTGCCTTTTTTTTATTTATATTTATTATTAATAATTAGACCAAACAAAAGTTTAGGTAATCATTAAAAAATAATTTATAATATTGTCCAAGTGTTGGTTGTGATCCCAGACTTGCTTTATCATTAATTGTGTGATAATGAATCTAATTTGAACAATTAAATAGTGAGCAAGTGTTTTTTTAAGCAAACTCACCTCCTCCACTTAGGAGGCTTAAACTACCCACCTCTCATTTGGGGAACTCTGGTTTATACGAGTTGGACCATTGCTCATTTAGTTAATGAGCATGTTCATTTAGTTAAAATTGTAACGTATAATTGTCGTTAGAATAAACCTTTTAGTCCAAAACAAAGTGTTCAGGAGCTTGGGTATGAATAGTGTCATTTGAAAAATGTTATCTGATCATATTTTTCTAGTAATTTATATTGTCGTGAATAAATTAAATGTGAATTCCATTCATGATATGAAAAGGATAAAAAATCATTACCCTATTCGTATCAGTTTAAAAAAACAATTTAAAAATCATATTGTATGTCATTTTATGCAAATCATGAGTACCATGTTAATGCGTCCCCATCCAGGCCTCGCAATTTAAGGCGATATCAATATTAGATAAATGGCCTGGTCAAATTTTTCTGAAAGAAAAGGAAATATATATATATATATAATCTCATTATAAAATCATAAAGCTAGTCACTACATTTATATATATATATATGAGATTTTATTCACAAAGTTTGCTTTTTGTAAAGCATTTGCACGCATTGTTACTCAAACTGGAAACATTGTTTTCTGAAAAATACAATTATGTCCTGATTTGAAATTTTATTAACCATATATAAATGAGATTATATCATCTGAGTTGATGTTTTTAGTTTCTTTGAAAAATCAAATTTAGGAGTATTAAGATTTTTTTTTTTTTTTTTTTGTTAAACAAGGTATTCCAATATTAGGTCGGCCTAATCTCCAATTGCAAATACAATTGGCCCAAGTGTGGGCATTGCACACTTTAAGTTTGTTGATATGTAAAATTTTTAGATATTATTGTGTTTGGATTTACCGAATTGATGCATTGAAATCTTACTTAAATTCAATATAAAGTTAAATTAATTTTTCTCTAAATTCTAAATTCAAGTCACTCATTTCATTCTTCCAAACATAAATTACGTTGAGATTTTGACAAATTATAAACAAGTAGACCCCGTTTAGCATATATTACTTTAGACTTCAAGAGAAATGAGTTTAATTTATCTGGCCTTAAAAATGACCAGAAACAATGATATTCGTCTAGCAACTTTTTGAATTCCTGTAACATTTCATTACAATTGAAGTCTGCCTTAAATTCTTTGCCAACACAATTATGTATCTCCAGATTCTTCACACTTTTACTAATCGCACTATTGATATATATATATATATATATATATATGTAATGTATGTATGACAATAGATTATATAGAATTTAGATCCTCAAACATGGACCACAAGGTCCACAATGGTGTAGATTGCCGACTTTACATATTGGACTGGGGGAGTCAAGGTTTGTATGATGGCTACCAACCACTTGACATTAATTGTTATATATGGTCATCATCATGACAGAAAATGATGTATTAAATTTGAAATTGAAATATTCCAATGTTGTATATATATATATACCCCGAATGTCTCTCTCTCAGTCTCCACCATTCACGACATGATTGAGAAGAGGAAGAGAAGAACATTCCACTTATTAGTTAAAGAAATAAAAGATTAGTTTGGGTACATGAATCAATCACTAGACAATTTTAAATGACATAAAAGACCAACTACCGGTCTGTTTGGAATATGAATTTCAGTGGACTAATCAAATTCACAAACACCACAAATTCAATACGTCTGTTTCATCTAATTCAATACTCCTCCAATAATTATCTTTTCTTCTAGAAGTCTTGGCCGAGAATGATGGAAATATTCTCTACCTCTCACTCTCATATTTTGGTTTTAGATTTGAAATTTTACCACACCAATTATCAATCAAAGATCTCTTTCTCGCAAAAGTATTCTCTTTTTCTTCTTGTCAAAAGTAAAAGTAGAACCACCTTTGCCCTTTACACGATTTTTTATTTTTACCTTTTTTTTGTAAAAAAAAAAAAAATTCTTTTTTGACATTTTTTAAAAGAGCTTTCCAGAAAACAATGGAAAAAATAAGAAGCAAAAATATCTCTTTTGTCATATATTTATAGGTTAAAATAATAAAACACTTATATTTTTTCAAAATCGTCAAATTTGACATTTCATAACTCATTTAATGGATCAGTCACAAGGTTGGGATAACTTGATAAATTTTGTTAGTTTTATGTATGCTTTTGAAAGTAGAGGAGAGTTTTATGATTTTAATCCTATATTTATGTATCTTAATTAAAAATTCCTTATTTTTGTTTAGTATATGATTAGTAAAAAATAAATCCGAGGAAGAAATAATTCTAATGTAAAAAACTCTTTAATCTTGTAAATTATGTGGGTTCCTACACTAAATCTCAAAAATTTCCCCACATTAGAAGAAGCTCTACTTGAATGAGAGCCAAAATTTTAGGTGATATAGAGCCATCAGAGACTGGTCCAAAATTTCAAGCAAAATGCAGCAAAGTAGTCTCATGTGGGTCTCTCTATTAAAAACTTGAATTTTCTCTCTTTCACGTGGGTCTTACTATTAAAGTTTTAGGTACTGTTTGATTAAATTAAAAATTAATCACTGAAATTTTTAAGTGTTGGATGTACTAATTTGAAAACATGTTTAATAATATTTTAATTTTAAAAATTGAATTTAATAAGATTATTTATTATATACAAAAGCTGAAATCTGAAAGTTGTACATATTACATTTTTGCCCTCAATATTTGATACTTATAACAATTTTATATTTATGATATAAAAATATTAATAAAATAACCACATTAATTCACCAATGAAATTTAACAATGAATATTAATATCAAATAATCATTAAAAAAAATAGAATCCTTATCTAGAAATAGAATTCTATTATATAAATAATTGATGAAAATTTAAAATAAATGAATTTTGAATTACATTACATTTATGTATGTAGGATATCGAAAAGAGTGATATAAAGATTAAAGAAAGTAAATTTAAAATATATGGATTTTGGATTACATAATAGAATGTTTGGGAACGATATTTTAGGCGTTTTGTTTTTAACTCGTGTTGCGCTACTGTTATGGTTTTGGGCCACAAACAGTTGTCAAAAGAAGAAAAAATAATTTTTTAGTGTTTTGGTTTTAGGCCACTGTTCACGAAGTGTTTTAGCATTGTGTAAAATAAAACAAGGCCTCACCAAACATGCTTTTGTTGCCAAAATCGATACTGTAGTAACAAAAAAAAAAAAAAAAAAAGTAGAAAACAAACGCATACTAAACGAAGCCTTAGCGTCTTTTGTATTCAGCACTGAAGGAGGAAATCAAACAACCCTACATCTCAAAATTTTCCCCACATTAGAAGAAGCTATTTTTGAATGAGACCCAAATTTTTAAGTGATATAGAGCCATCAGAGACTGGTCCAATATTTCATGCAAAATGCAACAAAGCAGTCTCGTGTGGGTCTCTCTGTTAAAAACTTGAATTTTCTCTCTTTCTTAGTAATCTTGAGCCCAGCCCAGTAACCTTGTTAGTTCATCAACTGAGGAACACGTTAATTACTGGGCCAAAATTCAGGCTCAATATCCTTTGGCAACCATTTTCAAATATATCATAAGATTTGATTTTTTAGTCCAAAGTCTTATATGCCTGCCCATCAGATGCCCTTTCAAATCTTATATCATAAGATTTTTTTTTTTTTTTTTTGGGTTAAAAAAGTCAGTATAATGCAGTAAATAAATAAATAAATATTTGCGGGCATGACATGTAAAAAAGAAATAGTGAAGTTAAGAGTTCAATTCTATAAAAGTCCACTCTATGTCCCATAGGTTATTATTTAACAGCTCATTCAAAACCATCCAATTACCACGGTACCACCCCTACTCATAACCCTAATTATTACTTAATTCAATTAGAAATAAATTTGGTTCCCCTAAGATTCAGAAAAGCACACAACACAAACATGAACATACCTATACAATGCACAAACACTGCCTTGTTAACTTAATCAATGTGAAACTAAGTTAATTAACTATTGCAAATGACATTCTTAAAAAGTTTATGTTAAATCTTACGTAGTAACTAATTAATGTGTATAAAATTTTTAATATAACGTGTTATTCTACTTTTGCAAGGTAATGCTCAAATTAAAATAGGAGTGCGATTTGAATAAATGCATATGCCAATTCAGAAATTAATGTCCTCAATTTTGGAGTCCACTGAATTTTTTTGATCTCACCTTACTCAAGCCTATAAAAAGACAATATTAGGTTTTGATGACCACAGTCATACATTTTGACAATATTAATTATTGTTTTGATGACAAATTTTTTTTTTTTTTTTTTCTTTCTTCCGGAGTCCCATTACACTTAATAATTCTCAATTTGTCAATTATACAGTACATGACAAGTGTAGTAAAAAGAAATGCATAGTAACCCGTTTAGAAGTTTCTAGAAGAGCTTAGTCAGCCAAAGTCCAATACCGATCTATTTACAGAAAAACGCGGTATAGAAATGTACTCGTGGTAGTGTAAGAAAGGCCTCCTCTCTCTCTCTCTCTCTCTCTCTCGCTAACATCAAACCCTCGCGAACCAGTTATGGACGCCGCAAAAGTGAGCCACTTGAAGGAATTCATCGAACAGTGCAAGTCTGATCCTTCAATCCTCGACGATCCTTCTCTTTCTTTCTTCACAGACTATCTCGGAAGGTAACACATTCTCTCACACACAAACACACTCACATATTAGTATATACACACATGTATATATGTATGTATGTATGTATGTCAAAAATAATGTTTCGATTTATATTTCGTGAAATTTAAATTGAATTTTATGTGTTTCAGTCTCGGGGCTAAACTTCCTACATCCGCCAACAAGCCTGGAGATTCTCCTCGTAACAAATCGGTATTTCACTCTCTATTTTATTTTATTTTTTGGGATATTTCTGTTCATCCGTTTGATTGCTGAGAAAATGTAGCAAAGTGAAATGAAATCAATTTCAAAGCAGCCAACGCCATAGAACATAAGAATATAAATTTTCTTCTGTGATCCATCGTTTTTTAAGCAACCAAGTGGAAGGGAAGGGTTTAGGGTTTAGTGAAATTATAAGACATGGGGACAATCGATTTGCCTAAACTTTTGGGAATTTCAATGTGTCTATTTTATTTTATTTTTTGGGATATTTCTGTTCATCCGTTTGATTGCTGAGAAAATGTAGGAAAATGAAATGAAACCAATTTCAAAGCAGCCAAGACCATAGAACTTAAGAATATAAATTTTCTTCTGTGATCCATCGTTTTTTAAGCAACCAAGTGGAAGGGCAGGGTTTAGGGTTTAGTGAAATTATAAGACATGGGGACAATCGATTTGCCTAAACTTTTGGGAATTTCAATATGGTTAATTATATGAGTTCAATTACAGAAATCTTATGTGGTGGATGAGAGCGATGATGATATCGAGTACGAGCCTGAACTGCAGCCGACTGTGGATGAAGAAGAAGAGAGCGAGATAATTGAATCTGACATTGAGCTTGAAGGAGAAACTGTGGAGCCTGATGATGATCCTCCACAAAAGGTTTTCTCCACTCACGTTCCCATTTTTTACTAAATTTTGATTTTAGCTTTTGATATTTTCTACTTAGAAGTGAAGGAAAAAAAAAAAAAAACAATTATAACTTTGACAATTGGATTTTGTAGATGGGAGACCCTTCTGTTGAGGTTACAGAAGAAAACCTTGATGCTTCACAAGAGGCAAAGGCACAGGGCATGGAAGCAATTTCTGAAGGTTTGTGATTTTTGTTTGTATCTGCTTGTATATAAATCTTATGTATGTTTATGCACAACTGATTAAAGAGAAGTTTGTTGAATTCGTGGGTTTTGTGTTGATCAGGTAAGCTGGAGGAAGCAATTGAGCATCTCACTCGGGCAATTTTGCTCAACCCAAATTCGGCAATTATGTACGCAGCCAGAGGTAAAGCTTGGTTTGATGTTTTCGCTGTTCCCTTTCGTAATGCTTTTCTTATATAACTTGTGGGTAAGTGTCTTCATACTTAACTTTCTTTTAATGTTTAATGTTTTTATAGCTGGCGTGTATATCAAAATGAAGAAACCAAATGCTGCTATTCGAGATGCTAGTGCAGCTTTAGAGGTTATTCTCCTTTCAATATTACTAATTACTATATATATTTGTGTTTATGCTTTGAATAAGCATACTGATTACTATATTACTATCTGTGCATGTAAATGGAGAGATTTGTTGAATGTGATACATGTATTTCACTGTGTCTTATGTAAAGTATCATAGAGGTTTGTTGAATGTGATACATGTATTTCATTGTGTCTTATGTAAAGTATCACAGTTGTAGCATTCATGCATTTAACAGGTTCCACCACATCTAAAACATCACTTTACCTTTTTTCTTCTGGTATAACCATAAAAATTTCCTACAGAGGTTCCATCACTCGTTTTTTCTGACAGCCTTTATTCAACTGACCCAACCCTTTTTAATCCCCAAAGCTGCCTTCATTCAACTTTCTAAAACCGTGACTAACCCAACAAGATTTACCATATCATGACACTAAAGCCCCTTGCGATCCAGTTCTAGGCAGCGGTATGATAAGTTTCCTATATCTCTGCTACTTCGAAAGGATTGAGAATTAGTCGAACTAAAACCGAGTATATGGAGTGTAAATTTAATAGAGATTGGGATATTGATAATATATTTATGACACTTCAAAGCCAAAAGATTACTTAAAACAACCACTTTCGCGATCTACATTTCTGTAATATTGTATCACACATTCTTCGTACCGGTTCTCCATTTTGGATGACAGATATTGCTGAATAGATGCTCATGTCTCACATGGAGACGATAGCTTGTATGCACCTGTGATCTGTGTGGATCTTACATTTTCCTTTACACTTTCTGTAGATAAATCCAGATTCTGCTAAAGGCCATAAATCCCGTGGAATGGCAAGGGCAATGCTTGGCCAGTGGGAAGAGGCTGCGAAGGATCTGCACTTGGCATCAAATCTGGACTATGATGAGGAAATAAGTTCTGTTCTAAAGAAGGTTTGCCTTTTTATTGTTCTATTATATTAGTTTTATATTTGTTATATGATGAACCATGTTTTTGAATTTTTTTTAAGACAAGGTGTCAGCGCCAAAGAGTTACCGTATAGGTGCTTGAGACTCAGTCCTGACATACATACTTATTGTCATGTCTGACTTAAAAAAAGATGTACTAGAATTGTAATTTTTGCTGTAGTCTAATTTATATTTTTATTTTGCATCATACTTAATTATTGGTTTACGCAGGTTGAACCTAATGCACGCAAAATTGATGATCACCGAAGGAAATATGAGCGTTTGCGCAAAGAACAAGAGGCGAAGAAGGCTGAACGTGAGAGACAACGTCGTCGGGCTGAAGCTCAGGTAATGGATGTTTGATCTTTTGCTAATAAAGTAAGTCTATCATTTGTCATTTATAAGCTTGATATTTTTTTCACATTTGTTGAAGGCTGCATATGAGAAGGCTAAGAAGAAGGAGCAATCATCTTCAAGTAGAACGGGAGGCATGCCTGGTGGGTTTCCTGGTGGCATGCCTGGTGGGTTTCCTGGGGGTATGCCTGGAGGTTTTCCGGGTGGTATGCCAGGAGGTTTTCCAGGTGCCGGTGGTATGCCAGGGGGTTTTCCAGGTGCCGGTGGTATGCCAGGGGGTTTTCCAGGTGCCGGTGGTATGCCAGGGGGTTTTCCAGGTGCTGGTGGTATGCCTGGAGGATTTCCTGGTAGCACGGCAGGGGGCATGCCTGGAAACGTCGACTACAGCAAAATCTTGAATGTAAGTATGATATGACATTGTGACTTTTTATGAATAATGCTTCAGAAAGTTAAAATTATCAAGTATTGACTGTGCCTTCAGCTGTCTGTTCTGTGACCCTAAATGCTGCCTATGGCTGTTTGTCATAACCAAGTTACTTTGTTGGTAATATTTACTTGTAAGCTGATGGTTTAATTTGGTTTTTACTGTTATTATTTGGAGCAGGACCCGGAATTGATGGCAGCATTCAAGGATCCAGAAGTGATGGCTGCTCTTCAAGATGGTACTTTTTATTTTTTGGTTTTTGGAAGTTGCTTTTTCTTTTTATTAATTATTCTGTCATTCTAGAAATTGCATGAACTTTTCATAATGTGAAACTTGCTATTCAATTTTTATAATCATTTTCATTATTCAAGACATTGAGAGTTGGGGATCACTTTGGCGTTTCTTTTTCAAAACATGCCCACATTAGACAGGCTCTGCTTCCCTATTACAAGGAGAAATGGGAATAACACTTCTAAATGGTTATTCACACTGTGGTTGAGAGCTTTTAAAGCATTGATACTCCTTGCCTCAATTACTATAGGTTGATGACAATGAGCATGCATATGTGAATATTCGTAGCTGAACTTGTATAGATTCTCATTAACTATACATCTTCAATGCTTGCTTCCTCGTTATTTTATAATTTTGGATTTTCTTGTTGCTGTTTGATCCTTAATATAATATTTGTTTTAAACATATATGAACATGATGTAAAGTGGGCTATTCGGAATTCTCTGTATAAGCTACAAACTGGTCTTTATGATAGTCAATATATTCAGTCCTTGCCTTGCACATCACCGATCATGATTATGATGTTTGAGAATCTGTTTTTACTATGATTGGGATTTCGATATGAACTATTAGATGGGAAGGTAATGGAACACGGTGTGTTTGTGGAACAGTAGCATGTTGGCCTTGCTCATCAATTGCTGTATTCTGATCATCAGTAGCTGGTTGCCTTGCTGATTGACTCAAATCAAATTTTCTGTTGCTTCATTGTTTGGCTCCTTCATTTTTAACTTGCAAATTATTTTTAATATTTTTTTTCTTTTTAGAACACACATCTTTATTGCCACAGGTGGTTCAAAATTTTAATTTTTGTTTCTCATGTGTTTTCCATTCTATATGGTTCTGTTCCTTTTCGCTTTGTAGTTTCCGAACTTTACTAGGTTTGTTCTCGTCTAAAAAATTGCCCCATGTAATGTTGTCATGTTTAAGGTATTAACAAGGTTTCCTGAATTACACACAATTTCTTTGTTTTTCCTTCAATCTCCACTTGAACAACTGTGTATGAATTTGCCCACTGCCAACTGTCCTGGCTTTTCAATTCCTCTTCCTCTTTTCAAGCTATGTTCTCATGGCATTTTTCTTTATAGAGAATCGTTTGGCTTCCATTATTTGATTTTTTGTGCTACACTACTGAGCCACAAAACTCTGATTTATAATTTCATCACTAGAACCATTTCTCATTTCATTTTTTCAGATAACTAATACACATGCTCCCACGTCTCTCCCATGTCACACAGCTGAGACTTGAACACTTCGCCTCTTCTTGTGGGGTTGGCAAGGGATACAAGTTAAGCCAGAAACTGGCAGTAACCAGGCTAGAATCATTTTCCTGAGTGGTAGAATAATACACATGCTCCCATGGCTGCTCTTCGTACTGCTATTTCTATTTACCTTTGTGCCTTGAGTTAGCCCGAGTCTCCACATAGCCCAGTCTACACGGATACTAATCATATTTCGAGCAATACCTCCATCATCTAATTACCAAACCAACACTCAGCACTTCCTGATGTGCATAGAACACGCAGTGAGTGTGCATTTAAAGTTGGTAAAGTGATGACGTAAGTTTGTGTGAACCTAACCTCTCCTTATAATAAACCCCCTTCCTCCTATATTTGTCTGCCTTTATGGGTTCCTCTCTCATACATGGTTTATCTTAAATTAAATTTACTGAAAAAAACTATCTATAGTTTTCATTGAGCCACCCATGGCTCTGGTTTATATAATTAGCTTTCTGCTTTATCAAAGTTGGAAATGGGATGTGGTTCCTACTTGAAGTTTTTATCAATAGTGAGCTTGTAACTTGTAAGGCATTCCACATATTGACTGACCATTTTAACCATTTGTTTAAGGGATGCAAAGTTCAATTTTGTGTGCTAACCCTGAATCCGACCACATGGTGTTCTGGCTATTTAATTTGATTTGATTATTGATCTGATGTTGGTCAATTTTTGTTTGCAGTTATGAAGAACCCAGCTAATCTTTCAAAGTATCAATCAAATCCCAAGGTAGCTCCCATCATTGCAAAAATGATGGGCAAATTTGGGGGATCAAAGTGAACATTTCTCAGAGATTGGCATCATCTTTGTTTAAAATTAGTTTCTGAGGCAATTGTGGTTTTTGACGTTGCATTCGAGATCTCAGTTGCAGCTTTCATGTGTCATTCTCGAAAAATCGTGGCTTTTGTCCAACTTTTTTCGTTACAGTAATTGACATGGAGAACAAATTATGTTCTGGGGTTCATGGCGTCATGAAAAATTTCTTTTAGACTCGGAGTGTTTATGCAACACTATTAATTTAGCTTATTTGAAAATGACCATTCAATTCCTGCTTCATTTTTATTCCATTTCCTAATGCATTCCATTCTCACTAACTTCTATGCGTATCAAATGTAGCCTAAGCTTCGTTTGACATTTATATCTGAGGATGCAAAGTCCATTGACCTGTAATTATTGTAATTAATGATATTTTTCATGCTTGTACAATGCCAAACATTTTCATGCTCCGCTATGTATGCCTATTAAATATATTGGTTAGGAATTTCAGATTTAAAGCTTTTTAAACTCACCATCCAATTTTATGTAGAGTAATGCTAGACTTGTGGATAATCACTTATTGAACTCTTAATTAGTGATGGACAAAGATAGAATCTTTCACTTCTAAAGTGTTTTATAACAAAGGAGTCCGGGTTTTTATCATTATGTTGGACTGAAGAACACAAATATTATGCAAGATTAAAGTTTGTCGTGAATTCAAACATATATTATTTGATATATGGTTTTAAAACATAGGATATATTTTGTGAATTTGCAATTTAAATAAAACTCATTTGTAATCTTAAGTTACACATTAAATGTTGGTATAAATGGGTCAGAAATGTATTAATTATATACATATTGGTAGTGTTACTATGACAATTAAACAGGCCCTTAAACCCCACACAACATTCGGTTACTAGTTCTAAGTCCGATTCAACAGGAAGTTGAATAGCAAGAAAGACTCATTTCTGCGATGTTTGTCATTTTCGGTTAACAAGTTGCTCTAACACTATTTTATATCTAATTATATGTTTTTGGTGTAGTAAGCTTTATTTCAGCATATCCTTTTCGGTTTGTAATGTTAAAATGTACCATAAAATTAAATATTATTTTAAGTGAATTAAATAAAATTAATATTTAAATCAGTGTTATTCTAAAGTTCAGATTATATTTTTCTTTTCTTATATTTTGTGTAATTAAATTTGTTTCGGCCTATGGGCATGGCAACTAGATCCGACAAAGACCGGGTGGGTATGGGTTTAAAATAACCCAACCCCAAAAGTCCAGTGAATTCACAGTGCGACTACTCTTCTTTCTCATACATATACGAGTACTTTTTAAGTGCTCCGGAAGAAATCGAAGCGCAAAACCAAAAACCCTTCCTATCTGTCACCGCCAAGGGTGGGTTCAACGCCAAAAGCCTTGACAAGGTAAATCTTCTCCTTTTACGTTATGTTTCAGATTTTCTCTCTTTTTATGTGTTTGGTTACCCAGAAATTGATAGAAAACAAATTAAATACCCGCAATCATATAACAAAATTTGGGGCTGAACTTTCTGTCCTTATATTTAAGGTTTTAACGCTATTCGATATAGAATCACTACAGGGTTTACAAAATCACACACTAATTCGATCTATAGTTAAGAGTGACTTCACATTTTACATTTTGGTCCGAGCTTTGATGACCTCTCTCCTATCTATGAACCAATCTAGCCGTGAACTTACCTGAAACCTTAATTCCGATCAATGCGTCTCTCCGATTAGTCTGAACTCATCTAATCGTTAACCCATCCTGCGAATCCACGTCTACAACCTCTGATCTTCGTCTCTCCCTCTCTTGCTCTCCGCCATATGTGGTTGCTATTTTTTCTCTTTTTATATGTGTGCTTTTTTCCACGAAATTTATTTGCGTGCTTTGCATCTCAACCCAGAACACTGTTGAAGAAGTGAAATAACTGGAAAATTGCATTTTCTCACTGCAAGATTTAGAAAAAACATGTGTAATACTTCATATCACAATGGTAGAACCATAAATGAATGTTAATATTTATTTGGTTGCATTGTTGGAAGAATGCTAATTTTTGGTTGATTTGGTACAATTTTGTAAAATTTGGATGAGTATTTCTTTGGTTTTTTTTCTTAAATCTGAGTGGACATTTAAACTGGACGAGGATGAGGTAGGGGTGTTGTTGTTTTAGTTATGGACGGGGAGGGCATTGCCCCAAACCCGTCAAAAACAGAAGAAAGATTTGTGACTTGGTTGTTTCATTTGGCTAGGGTTTCCTATGTCCAATAGTTTAGGGGTTTGTAGTCCGAAAGCATTTATGACAATGGGAAGCGAAGACAGAAGGGTAATCGAACAATAACTCGATGTTTGTCCCTGGCTCTAAAACGGTTTATTTTTCTTTTGTCTCTTTTAAGCTCTTCTTATTTTTTCTTGCACAAATAGATGGGAGCTAAGTTAGGGATCATGAAAGATTATATCCCATCATATGTTTTATCTTCTTCAGTACATTAAGTGTCTGGATATTACTTTAATTGTGTGATTTTATCTTTTTATGATGCTGTAAAAAAAAATGGACACACTCTTTTAAGAATGGATTGATGTTGCTATCCTCTAGTAGATGATTTTATGGGTTGAGCTGATTTGAGTTGTAAAATTTTGGTAAGATATGTCTAGATGATTTTCTGCAAAATACAAAATTAGGATGGAACTTGTGGATAGCATGGATAATGATACTGTAGAACCTTGCTATTAACAAAAAGTGGTAAAAGTTGTGAAAAAATGTGGCCATTTTGAGATGCTTTTACATTTTAGTGGAATAGAGTTGTTTATTTCTCTTTTTAATTTTCTAAAGAGGGAGGGCAAGTTTTAGAAATTGAAAAGAAAGTTCAAAATGATGATCCCACGAATGCATTTTTTGCATTACTTTAATTTTTTTCTTTAAAAAACAATTTTCACAAACAAAACTTGTGACTCCCGTAGTTTAGAAAACCATCTGCTTATATCATTTTTGTGAAAGGTTTCTGAGGGCAGCGGTGAAGGGTTTTTTGTCTGTCTTTTCAACGCAATCAGCATCTCTTCTATTCATGGAGTCACACCCCTCTCTCTCTCCTATGTCTGTGTGTATGCATTTTTTTATTTATTTTTATTTATACATACATCCATACCTTTTTTAAGTGATAGGATATCAGAAAATTAGGTAATACAAATCTCTAATAAATCACTGAACTGATTCTTTCTTTCATATAAAATCCACTTTAAACTTGGAATTTTGTTCTGAATGGTAAATTTGTTCTTAAATAAAACAAGAGTTTATTTTATTCTTATTTTATTTGCCTTTGCTTATAATTATTTATCTACTGCTTCCAGGCACTTACCTAACCAAATGTCTACTTGCCTTTAAGCCTTTTTAAAGAAAGTCAGCATGCTCCTCATTGCCATCTTGACACTATATTCAACCATGATCTACAGGATTATTATAAATGTATCAAATTAATAGTTGGGTAATTGTTTGGACACTTCTGTTTAAGTAACATTTACTGATTTTTTCGGGGTAGCCGACGTTGATTTGCCTAGCTTCTCAGTTAACTGAGAGGAAGCTCTTCTCAGATTTTTGGTCAATCAGGTTTGGGAACAAACTGAACTAATTCAAACTGGGTGAATTTTTATGATTGTGACATTTTTACAGTCTATGACATGGCATTCATGAGATATGTATTCCACACGTGCTCAAATTTGACACCCCAATTCTCCATATATGATGGTAGAAGAAGAATAAGAACTCAGATTTGATAATAAAGAAGGATTTGCTACTTCTTAAATAGATTGAGTGTTCCTTTTTTCACCACATCCAAATTTATTGTCCAATTCTGTAGATATCCTTTTTTTTTGATAAATCAATTCTGTAGATATCCTTAAAGAAAACTAATATTGTACATTACACTATAGCAAGACACATTATATATGTGCACGTAACAGTACCAAACTTTTAGACGCATTTCAAGCCGAACTCCTGTACCCTAAGATCTAGGATTTAGAAAGTTCACAGTTAGACATATATTTGCATATGATACAAGTACCTAAGTCCATGTAACGTAGGACATATATAACCTTGACTCTTATCCTATTGTATTGTGTTTTGTTTGTTTAGGTGTCTTGTGTGTATATTGAACATATTGCTAAACCTGCTACGACATGTTCCTTATTAAGTTGCTTTATATTCTCTCTCTCCCCACCTTTCCTGCTGTTTGATAAGCATCTCTACAGATATATCCAAACATAAGAACTAAGCAGATCCCTTTCCCTAGCTTTACAGTCTTCCGTATTTACTTTAAAATCATTTATCGCATTTATGCTAATGTCATTCTGCTTCATGACTTTGCTGTACTCTAGTAAGTTCCAGACCGTTTCCTTGGCCATTTACTTCTTGACAAATTGGAATCTCTTATCAGCTGCTTTGGTCACATACCTTTTGGTCACTGGTGTTGCAAGAGAGTTAAATAGTACATATGCATTGGCAATCAATTTTAGATTTGGCTAGGAAACTAAATTCTTCACTTATTTTTTTGGCTGCCTCATGCTTTCTGTTAATGCTACAAAATCCAAAATTAATATTATCTCTCTCTCTCTAATCTCTCTCTCTCTATATATTCCTCTGGCAAACACAAGGATTTCATTAACTATCAAAATCATTTCAAGTCATCCTCAACTCTCTTTTGCACTTCCATTGGAATACAATTCAATATGCCTTCACAACCATTAGGAGACCAAGCTAACTTGGCAACAAAACAGTTACAGGAACAATCCCATCTGAGTTCCTAAACACAGCAGCATCCCTTCCAAGCCCAGATGAAAGATCAAAAGACGCATCAAAATATCAAATTTACATGATTAGGTGGAGACCAGCGCTTGGAACTCATAGAATCATCTTCATGACTAGTACTTATTGAAAGTTGGGCCTCCGAAAAATCATGGTAATGAGAGTGCCATCTCTCTGTAAGAGACTTCTCACTCGAAGCTTCTCCCTTGAAGTACCAAGCATTATTTGATTTCCATATATACCAGCAGATGTAAGACAGTAAGCTCATTAAAATTTGTCTTTCACTAACCTTCTTCAGCTTCTGTTGTAGAGAGACTGCCACCAATTTGAAAAATTATACTGTCACATTCCTTTATTTCAAATATGAGAGGAGTGAGTTTCCAAATCAAAGTAGACTGAGGGCAGACGAACAGCATATGCTCGACTGTTCCATCTTGCTCTCCACACCTTTTGCAAATTGAATCTAACACCATTTTCCTTTTATCGAATAAACTCAGCAATTGCTTCCTTTAATGATAACATTTCCAAAGGAAATTTTTGATCTATTCTTTGGTCTTGCATTTCCAAATTCTATTCCAGAATGATTTATTCTTCAGTCTTTAACTAGTTTCACCAAAGTCAGCCCTCATCATATTTGTCTTATAAACAAGTGAAGCAGCCAAATGATAAGCAGATTTAACAGAAAAACTGCCATCCTTTTCCCTCACCCAAACCATATCATCTTGAATATCTGTACTGCTAAGATCAATTTTGAGAACATTTTCGGCATTTTGTGGGCTGAAAGATCTCCTAGTCAAATCCACCTTCTTGGTTCTTGTGCTATGATCAATTGAGTCAACCTTCTGAAGATGACTAGAAGCATCAGTAGGAATTAACTTCTGATTTTCCAATGGGATCCTGTAACCCATATATGGCCTTTGTAAAATTGAACACTTGTTTGAGATGTTCTAGGTACTCGTTAGGCCAACAACTAAAATTTATTATCAAAATACAAAATGATCAATTGAAGGGGCAAAGTGCATACATCGTCACCTGCATAGGATATTGGGGACATGGGCATTTGATTTGTTGAACATCAGCACCAGCTATTCATATATTTTTCCATCTTAATTTGTTTGTTATCTATTCATTACAGAGCTGAATAGGGATTGGATGGTAATTATTGCAATCAATTGGCAAAATTACTGTAAAATGAGCTAAAACATTGCTTATGCCACCTATTCGAGGGATGAGCAATTGGTGCATCTGGTAGTCTGTTATTACTTCATTATCCTCATACATCTTGCAAGAATTGGTTTCCTTAAAGAGTCGATAAGCTGGAATAGCACGTGTAACAATAGTCTCTGTGAGGAACCCTTTTTTGACTTGAAGCTCCTACAGTTTCTCCTCAGTTTATTTGGCAGTGATGTAATCTTAAGAAAATGGCCGAATTGTGGAGCATCACGCCTGGCAACAAGCTCAGTTTTTTGGATTTCTAGTTCTCGTAGGTTGCTAGTTGCAAACATGTGGAAGCTTTTCACAAATGAAATGTTTAAAATCAATTGAAGGTTTCTGTAAGTACCCAAAATTTTGACTGGCCATTTGAGTGTTCATTTTATTGGATCAGCAAACAAGAATAAATGAACCATTGTTCCTATCTAAGAATCTAAAATTAATCAATTAGAAACAAACCAGAAAAAATATTTGAATCTTTGCATTTGGCCTCTCAGTTTTGCTAACCGTTTAGCTCACATTGAATGGTTGTTTTCAGGTAATTTATCTGGAGTTGCTCTATTATGGGTGAATCATTTACAATTCAGATCAGCAGCAACTTAGTCAAACAACTTCTAGATGATGGTGAGAAGTCGAAGAAGAAAACAAGGAAACCGAAAACAAAGGTACCACGGGACCCACAACCATCCCAAACCAAGGTACATCAGAAGCAGTTTTCAGATGATTCTGACAGGAAAAGGACTGAAGCTTCAGGATGGCCACTTCAACCTCCATTGTTCTTGCCTGTATCCCCTCCTCCACAATTGGCTAATTCAGAGTTAGATGCCATTCGATCTGTTGCTCAAGGGTGTGAGAAGACTGTGGAGAGGTTGCATAAGCAGGAGGAAAACATGTTGCAGGAATTAACCCAAAGAGCCAAGGAACTCCGTGATAAAGAGTTCAAACTTCCATCACAGAAGCCCATAGCCTGCGTGGCTGAGAAAGATGCTTGCTTGGACTGTTACAAGGAACATGTCAAAGACCCCCTGAAATGTGCCCATTTTGTTGAAAAATATGCAGACTGTGCTCGCAGAGTTAGGCAACAAGCGGATTCAGCAGATAAGTAGGCTACCCTAAATGAATCTTTTTGAATTAATGCCTGGTTGGAACGACGCTTTTTTGAATTTTGCTGTGCAAAATAAACCAAACTCTTGAACCTTTGGCCCAATCTTTGGTTGCATGTTGTTCTTATCTGCACCTCATGAAATCATTTTACACTTCTTTACATCTCTAAACGATGTCCGCATTTACTGATGTTAGACTACATTGTTTATAATTTCAAACAAGTCTGATGTACTTGGTCCTACCATTATCTTCTAGAAGATTTTTCTATGACCTTATTGCATAATGTACCCCAGGGGAGAATGCTCCCCTTTCATCATATCAAGTGTGTGACTTTGATTTAAGCAGAATGGTTGTATCAGATCTATGAATGAAGTCCAAGGGAGATATATCTTTGTAGTTAACTTATTTATTTTATTTAAAACCACTTTTGAATCAGTGCAGGGTTTCGGTAATTCCAAATAGTAACCTAGACTGGACTGACCCAACTAATGACCATGCAGAAAGGCAACATAGCAGAATTTGAGTCCAAAATTTCCAGAAAGGTGATATTATATGCGACCAAAGAGGTCGAAAGAAGTGCACATCATAAATGACATTCGCTGCGTTGTGTAGTTGGCCTATTTTTCTCGGTTTGTATATCATTACTCTAGATGTGGTCATATGGGGATTGACCTGAGGCTATGGTCTTAAATAGAGTGGAACCTCCAGTAATTAGGAAAATGTGACTTGGTGGTGGTTGTAGCTGTTGTATATCATTGCTCTCAAATGGCCTTTTTACCACAGCTAGGTTAAAACAATTCATTTGGGAGAATCCATTGGCTTTTACCCAAGAGAGAGGTAAGGCTTTGATTATAGATGGAAATGATTTTCTTTGCATTCTGTTTGGGTGCTGGAAGTATGTGTGCAAGGATTCAACTGGCTCAGGAACTTCCATGATTTTCTTTGAGTTGTTTCTTTTCTTTCTGTTTTGAATGGTCTAAGAAATCTGAATATTCGTCTTATATCTGGTGGTGTGGAGTTAGTTCAGAGGCATTATTATTTTATGGGCACTCTCTTTCTTTTTTTTTTTCGCGAAATGTAAACTTTTTGTATAAATATAATAGATGTACAAAAAGGGCCAAAGCCCAAATAAACAAAAACAAGTTGAGATTCCCCAACAAACAAAGCCCAGACAATGCCCTAACTCCATACAAGATGGAAGCAAATACATTGACCACAGACATTTGTTGTCAAAATCCCTAGACTAGTGGTGTGTACGCCAAAGCAATCCGGTGAATTATGGGCATACTCTTTCTTCCTTGGAAGTTATTAGGTTGTTTTCATAGAGTCAGCTCTTGAGCTTAGAAAAATTGTACTTGCCAAAGACTACAACATATGGCCGGCAATGGTCCATAGAAGTCAATGTAAGGCACAAAACCAACCACGGAATGGAATCCAAATATGGAAATATCCTTTTACTAAGGTCTAAAATCCATTAATGAAGTTAGAAAATAATAATAATAATAATAATAATAATGAAATATAAAATTGTGGACGTGGTGGCAGAGAATACAGATAATATAGTTTAAGATATACAACCATATAAAGGAACGTGGACGTGGTGGCAGAGAAGATCCCAATTCCACACCTTCCACAATGCAAAATGATCTTTCTTGTCTTTATATAACCACAGTATATATAAGGGTTAAGTACATTAAACCCCTCTCAATTATAAGCCAATTGCAAGAAACCCCTTAAACTAAAAAATACCCCCTAAACTAAAAGAATGTTGCATTTAATCCCAAGGTGTTAAACAACCGTTAACTAAAAACTAAAATTACCGTTTTGCCCATTATACATATCCAACTTTAGTTGCTGATGTGGCCTTTGTAATTTCCATATCCAATGAAAATTTGACAAGTCATCCTATCATTAATAATTTTACTGTGGACAAAAAAAATGAGAAATAATAAAATATATTTAATCACCGGACTTTAAAATTGACCCACGTGAAAAGCTGAAGTGGCCTGGATGCAAAACACTGTTTCTCTTCCTTCTTGGTTCATTCTCTCTCTTCCATCTCTGCACATGGCAGCAGTGTGGGGGAGCTAACATCCGGCACAAGCTTTGTGGGATATCTTGGTCTTCAACATATATAAATCTCCTCTTCACGAACCTCTCCAAATCTCCCAAACACAAGGCGGATTGCTGCCGGAATCTATGGAGGCCATGGCCGCCAGAATCCATGGAGCCCTTGCCGCCAACAAAGCAGCCCTCCTCCTCCTTAGCTCCACCATCGGCGGCCGCACCCTCTAGTGGAACTGATCTGATCCAAACCCATGTTCATGGTTAGGTGGCTACTGCGACAGCTTGTGAAGCTTTGTCCTGATAATCTTATAACTTATATACTGCTATCAAATGTGTTGGCAACTTGGGGTTAGACCCAATCGTAAAAGCTACACATTCAGTCATAAAAGCCCCGAAAATCTGTTGTGGCCGATCACCAAACCAATCCAATCGCAACTGCCCAAAAAATACGCGTTATTCTTTCAATCAATTCCCCTCCAAACACTGACCTTTGCAACAAACGATTTTTGTTGAATGATTTTTCACCTTTTCGTCATTCTCGTCATTGCCGGAGTTCGACGTTAAAGAGAAAAAAGAAGAAGAGAGAGGTAGATTGGAGAGAGATAGGGGTGGTAGTGGGTGTGGACGGTGGATGTGGTTGTCAAGGAAGAAGAATCTTTGTGAGGGCGAGAGAGCGGCGGCAGGTGGTGACGGTGTGGCAGCCATGGACTGGCGGTGCTGGTGATGGTCATGATGGACAGCGAAGGTGGTTGGAGAGAGAGGGTATATATATATATATATATATATATATATATATTCATTTAATTATAAGGTTATTTTTGTCTTTTTGAATATTTGCCAAGTCATGTGACAAACTTGCCTTTCTTTCCGTTAGATTTCAAACGGCCAACCAACATTTTACAACAAACTGAATAGTTCAGGGAGTTAAGTATCTTTTTAATAGTTCAGGGGGTTTTTTGAGAAAGAGAAAATTGTTCAAGGGTTTAATGCAATTAACCTTATATATAATAAATATTAGTCACCACCCCATTGGCATTCCTGATAAGCTGCGTTATTGACCTCTAAGTTTGCCCCCAAATAACCATCTACCCATCACTCACAATTCTCCATTCTCATCTCCTTCACTGGCCTCACTCCATACCATCCATGATTCAAAAACTAAGCACCTTCTTATCTAATTCATGGTCATGGTGGTCGCAAAGCAACGCCAACAACGATGAGCTCGCCCCTGTAGTACTCACGGGTGTGCTCATCCTGCTTCTTGTGTCATGGTATTATTGGATCACCTTCTTTTCTAAATCGAAAAAGGAACACCCACCATTGCCGCCAGGGCCACTGGCCCTGCCCCTGGTGGGTAACCTCCTGTCTCTTGATCCCGAGCTACATACCTACTTCACGAGCCTGGCGCCCACCTATGGTCCCATCCTCAGACTATGGCTCGGTAAAAAAGTTGGGATTGTAGTCGCCTCGCCCGCCATGGCACGCGAGGTGTTAAAAGAGCATGATGCCATCTTTGCCAACCGGGATGTGCCGGTGGCGGGCAGGGAGGCTGCCTACGGTGGTCTTGACATAGTTTGGACACCGTATGGGCCGGAGTGGCGCATGCTGAGGAAGGTGTGCGTGCGTGAGATGCTCAGCAATACCACTCTTGACTCTGTCTATGTGCTCCGGAGACAAGAGATCCGGCAGACAATCGGGTACTTGCACAGACGGGTCGGGTCACCGGTCAACGTGGGTGAGCAGATGTTTCTGGCTGTGCTCAACGTGATCACAAACATGTTATGGGGTGGCACTGTGAAGGGGGAGGAGAGGGCCAGCATTGGGGGGGAGTTCCGGCAAGTGGTGGCCGATATGACGAGTCTGTTGGGGAAGCCCAACGTGTCGGATTTTTATCCGGGTTTGGCCCGGTTTGACTTGCAGGGCGTTCAGAAGGAGATGAAGGTGTTGGCACAGCGGTTTGATCGGATTTTTGAATCCATGATTGATCAACGGCTGAAAATGGATGGACAAAGTGGGACCACAGAGAATAAGGATTTTTTGCAGTTCTTGTTGAAGCTAAAGGATGAAGGAGATGCCAAAACGCCTCTCACCATGACCCATCTCAAAGCCTTACTAATGGTATGTTATTGTCCTCTTCATCACAAGTAATGGTATCTAGCTTGTCTCTTCAATTTTAAATCCATATAAATACAGTGCAAGTCCAATAAAGTAATGTTTTGTAGACATGGAACTGTTTTTGCGGTGGTAGTGATGAAATAAACATCATCATTTTACTTTATAAAAACAACATTAAAAAAAAAGAAAGAAGAAGAAACGTGATATTAAGCTTTCTTCTTGAATTTGAAGTTTTGATAAATTTAATATATATTTTTTCGAAGTATATAAAAATTAATCAAGTTTTGAGAAATTAATTCTTAATATCTAATAACACCCGACACACGAATGTGAGTCACGAGTCACCCAACCAACCGTTCATGTCAGAGGACTTGGAAGTTTTGGAGACGTTGCAAAATGGAAGTCCTAAAAAGAGTAGCATGATTGTGACTTGTGGTGGAGCTTTGTTCAGAGATGGAAGTGCCAAACCTTGTTTTGGCCTGGTTATAAAATTAGCATCACCACGACCAGCCAAGTATTTTGATTCGACTCTTTACTTAGCAACATGACAAGCTAATCTCGAGTTCTTAACCAACAATATCAATAGTTTTTATCAATCAACTACTAATTAACAGCTAGTCTCTATTATTTCACTAATTAAGTCATTACAAACCCATGCACCTACCTTACTAGTTTTGCATTCAGGGACCACAAAAGCTAATAGGTCTAGCATTCTTTATTGAGTGAGAGTCACTACTTTGCTACCTTTATCAGCAAGAAATACAGCTCAAAAAGAGTGTATTACACTTATGTAATACTATTTTCTTGACTGTGTTGAATTTGTTACCTATATTAATATAACTGGAAAAGGGGTTAATGCTAATTAATTGAGCACTCTGTTATAGTTTTTTGAGCTCAAATATTTTATTACATGCCATAGTGCTTTGATATCTGACATATAGGACTCCTTGTGATGCACCATAAGAAAAGTAGCATTTCACAGCAGCACATAATTAATGTATTCTCTATAGTTATTCTTTTAAATTTGGAATTTTAGTACTTAAAAGCAGGGGTTGTCTTTAAGTGATAAGAGGAAGATGATACAAATTACTATCTGTATGGTATTAAAGTTTTTACCTGTACAGTACTGCCCATATAAGTACTAAAGGGGCCATAATATTCACTGTATGCAATAATAGTTGTATTGTTACTTAAATGGAAAGACATTTACATGGTGTTGTGTGAATTGGACAGGATATGGTGGTGGGTGGGTCAGAGACAACCTCCAACACAGTTGAGTTTGCCATGGCTGAAATGATGAACAAACCACAAGTACTGCAAAAAGTCCAGCAAGAACTCGACGCAGTCATTGGCAAAGATAACATTGTGGAGGAGTCTCATATTCACCAACTACCATACTTATATGCAGTGATGAAAGAGGTTCTACGCTTGCACCCAGCCCTCCCACTCTTGGTGCCTCACTGCCCCAGCGAGACATGTATAGTTGGAGGTTACACAATTCCTAAAGGTGCTCGTGTTTTCGTTAATGTCTGGGCGATACACAGGGACCCTTCGATTTGGGAGAACCCGTTGGAGTTTGATCCAGAGAGGTTTTTGAATGGTAAGTGGGATTACAGTGGAAATGACTTCAATTATTTCCCGTTTGGGTCTGGCAGGAGAATTTGTGCAGGGACTGCAATGGCTGAGAGAATGTTCTTGTTTTCACTCGCTTCACTTTTACACTCTTTTGACTGGAAACTGCCTCAAGGTGAGAAATTAGACTTGGAGGAGAAATTTGGGATTGTGTTAAAGAAGAAGATACCTCTTGTTGCTATCCCAACGCCAAGATTATCTGATCCATCACTCTATGAGTAATTAAGTGAAGCAAAAGAGAATTGCGTTCGCTAGAAGTTGTAGGTTCTATGTTTCAAGTGTCGATTCAATATAGTGATGACTCTTAAACTCAATATATTACGGTGTCCTTTACTGAAATCCTTTTTCACATATTAGTCTTTTGAGTATGTATTTTCATATGGCAATGAATACTGAAGATTTGAGTTGCTGCAAGAGATTTTAAAGTATCATAACTTCTCATCTTTTACTTGAGTTTGGATTGCTCCCTCCTTGTTGTTTGCCCTCTGTTTTCTGTGTCTTCGGGTTTTGTTTTTGCTGGTTTTGGTCTGGGTCCAGGTTGGCTGGGCCTGGTTTGTCCGGGTTCTTGAGCCTGTTTATGCACTAGTTAAATTTCCCTCTAAAATAATTGTAGCAGTGCAATGAATTCCAGGAGATGGAAAACTAAAGACCAAGTGGGATTTATGTCTGATCTAAAAAATGATGAACAAAAGCATCAAATCAAGTGCCAAAACCCTTAAAATATACCACGGTGTTTAGTAAATAATTGTGTATGGAACTGTTTATTGTGCTTGTTTCCTTTATTTTATTGTTACTTTGAAACAGGTTGCGGTGGTAGTGGTGAAATAAACATCATCATTTTACTTTATAAAAACAACATTAAAAAAAGAAAGAAGAAAAACGTGATATTAAGCTTTCTTCTTGAATTTGAAGTTTTGATAAATTTAATAATTTTTTTTTGAAGTATATAAAAATTAATCAAGTTTTGAGAAATTAATTCTTAATATTTAATAACACCCTACACACGAATGTGAGTCACGAGTCACGCAACCAAACCATTCATGTTAGAGGACTTGAAAGTTTTGGAGACATTGCAAAATGGAAGTCCTAAAAGAGTAGCAGGATTGTGACTTGTGGTGGAGCTTTGTTCAGAGATGGAAGTGCCAAACCTTGTTTTGGTTTGGTTATAAAATTAGCATTACCATGACCAGGCAAGTATTTTGATTCTACTCTTTACTTAGCAACATGACAAGCTTATCTCAAGTTCTTAACCAACAATATCAATAGTTTTTTTTATCAATTAACTACTAATTAACAGCTTGTCTCTATTATTTCACTAATTAAGTCAATCACAAACCCATGCACAAACCGTACTAGTTTTGCATTCAGGGACCACAAAAGCTAATAGGCCAACCTAGCTAATAAATGAATGGTCTAGCATTCTTTATTGAGTGAGAGTCACTATGCTACATTTATCAGCAAAGAAGTACAGCTCAAAAAGAGTGTATTACACATATGTAATACTATTTTCTTGATTGTGATGAATTTGTGACCTATATTAATATAACTGGAAGAGGGGTTAATGGTAATTTATTGAGCACTCTGTTATAGATTTTTGAGCTCAAATATTTTATTATATCATGAATGCCCTACATGCCATGTGCTTTGACATATTAGTATATTAAATCCTTGAAATTTACAAAACTTTCCTGAATATATAATGGGGCCTGTTAGCCTGGATCATAATGTACCAATATATATATATATATATATCTATAATATCTGACATATAGGACTGCTTGAGATGCACCATAAGAAAACTAGCATTTCACAGCAGCACATAATTAATGCATTCTCTGCAGTTATTCTTTTAAATTTGGAATTTTAGTACTTAAAAGCAGGGATTGTCTTTAGGGAATTTTACAATAAAGTAGTAATTGCAAAAGTATATTACCTATCCACGAACGTAGTTTATATATTTACAAATATATGAACTAATTTTTAGTTTAACCTCTCCTATAAGTTAAAATTATATTTTTGCCCCTAAAGTTTGTTTTATGCATAATTTACCTAAAGAAACACTTATAAGTTTTAGAATTTTGCCAAACAGCACTTAGAAATTGTTACATCGCTCAAGAATTAGGAGACATAACGCGTAGCCTAAACGAAGAATAGAAGAACTTAGATCTAGAATTATTCGAATACAGAATATTTTAAAAGCTAGACGGCAATTATTTTAGTTTATGAATAGAGTAGACTTTAATAACTTAAATAATTCTATAAAAAGATTAGGAGAAAATCTTGATTAAATTAAAGAATAAGTAGTACAGAATTCTAGTCCAAATAATTTAGATAATAAAATAATATTAGTCGCCATTAAAGATATAAATAACGATATTAAAAATATTTCTAAAAATCAAAAAATAATTATAGATCATTTAAAATCTCTTAAAACCGATATTCAAAAGCTATTACAATAGTTTTATGAGCACTAGTAATCCTGATTATTTAACAGCTTTAGCCGAACTTTATAAAATTGATAAAGAACCCGTAGGTTTTACAAGTTTTAAAACAGACGTACAATCAACTAATATACATATTAGACAAAATAACTTTTTAATCCAGTTATTAATCCAGTTAACTGATAAAGTTAATAAACTTGAAGAAAAATTAGAAATTATACAAGAAAGTATTCCCAGAGAATCTTCTAAAGAATTATCTGAATTATCAGATAAAATAAAGGATATAAAGTTATCAACCACTAATCAATTCTCGCCTGTAACCACCAAGCGTGTAAATTTATTACAACCCCTTAGAAAAACACCACAATGGCCATTATCCTTAGAAAAGCCAAAGAAATAATGAGAGTAGAGGATTTATATGATAATGAACAGGATGCTAAAAAATATATAGAGAAAAAAATAAAAAAAAATAAAAAATAAAGTCAACCTTTATTTCATTAATTTACTAGATTTCCAGAGCAAGATATATAATCATTTTAGCCAGAGAAGAATAAGTGTAGTCAACAATCAAGATATTTTAGATCTTATAACACCCGAAACATGTAAAGAGTTACATGATAATAATTTAGAACTTATGCATTTAGGCGTCATAATGATAGAATTAGTAGGATTAAATAGATTAGAAATAGGAACTAGAGTACTTATTTATATTTATGATGGTCGATGGAATAACCATCAACAAGCACAAATAGCTAGCACAGAGATAGATTTAGCAGATAACGAAGCCATAATAAGATGTATCCCCAATTTCACGATGACTACTAGAGAATTCAGTAAACATATTAAGATAGCTATATCCACCAAAGGATATAATATGACCGGACAATTTGAAAACCTATTAGTTAATACGCTATTTATGGGAAAAACAGTTAATCAATACAATTTACAGTTTAAAGCTCAATTTAGTGAAATAGTTAAACCTTTTAATAGCAAATATGTCCAGATGATAGAAGCTAGAAAAGTAAGCAGTATTACTCATGAAGGAACAAAATGGAAACTACCTAATCTTACTACTACAACTAAAAAGATTCCCGAAAGTAACATGATATATGTTAAAAATACTGGAGAAGTTAGCATAAGGTTTAATAATTATAAAAGACAAGATAATCTAGCAGATGATAGCCAAGAAGACTTTTTAACTACCCTTATAGAAATAGAATCCCCTGAAGAAATAAATATCCTTATGATAGATTAGAAGATGAAATTTTAGATAAAATAATGCATGATTTTGACAATCTTGAATTAGAAGATTTGAAAGAGAAAGATCCTGAGCCAAATTACCAACTCATTGAAAGCATCTATCTAGGCGAAGGAAATAATGATGATATTAAGAGAAATATATTAAAAGTAGGTTTTGAATCATTCTACACGAAACACGAACTAAACACACTAAAAGAAGAATTAAATGTAAATGTCAAAGAACAAGTAGAGCATAGAGAAGGAAAAGAACCAGCATGATCTTCATCTCAACCTACATGATCTGTCGATCAAGAAATGCATAATGCAACTAGTAGTACCAATAAAACAAATGATGAATATCTCACATGACAAAGATTTAGCCTACACAAGAAATATATGTAGAAAATAGAAACATACCAGACATGTACACGTGGACACCACATCGTAGATGTTACGATAATACTCCATCACACGACGCGGGAACTATATTAGACATATCACGGCATGATCCCCAAGATTGGTCAAGAGTAATTGACGATTGGGAACAAGACTGTATTAGAACAGCTATTCTAACTCGATTCGATAATCGAACACAAGCATTAACTTATTGTGAAACTCTATTAAGAGGCACAATGTAATACCCCTAATTTTTAAAAGGATAAAATTTGAATTTAAATTTGATTTCGTGGGCATTTTTAGTTGTTTATGTGGCTATGTGTTTTATGTTTAATTGATTTAATTGTTTAATTGTGTATTTGTTTAATTAGTTAATTGTGTATTTGTTTAATTGTTTAATTGATGTATGTGTTTAATTTAATTATATGATTATGTGGGTTTGTTTTAATTGTTTAAATTGATTTATTTGTTTAAATGATAAAATATGTTTAAACTAAATTAATGTTTTTAAACAACGGAATTGGGCTTGGATATGGAATTTTATGGGTACAGTTATTACCCATGGATGGATATACATGTATATATATATATATATATGTATATGATTAAGTTAACTATTATGATTTATTAATAATTACATTTATACTGGTTTATTAATAATGATTTTAGGGTTTTATATTTTTATGTCATAGCCAACTTAGTTATATGATTATTTTTTTTTTCTCTATCTCCTAATATAATTAAAATTAGGGTTGTGATTGTATAAGCCTATATAAATACTTGTATAAGTCTGCTAAGGGTTTTTAGAACCCAAGTCACGTAGCAGTGGAGGCGACGAAATACAGAGAGTTTAGAGAGGAAAACAGAGAGAGGAAAGTTAGGGTTTGGCTAGGGACAAGGGCTGAACCAAGAAGGGATTGCTTCTGGATTGAACCAAGAGCAACGGAGGTGTGGAACAACAGTTTAGAAGGTGGTTGGAAAACTCAGAGACGGAGGGTTAAGGTTTTGAACGAAAACCTAAAGGCAAGTCTCTGTTCTAACTCTTTCCCCTAAACCTGTGTTTTGTGCTTGCCTAGGTAGACTCCAGGGTTTAATTAATGCTAAAACAAATCTTTTATGCATGTTTAAACTTTATTTAATCTTGTTGAATCAAACTGGTTTGCAAATTTTTAAAGTTCCGTTAATTGGTTCCTGCTGTCTTTGCGTTTAAGTTTGGTTTAATTGATATCATTGATGCATGTCAATGCCTTTTAAATGTTCTGGGACATTGATTAAACACTGGAACAAGTATTAAAAGAATTACAGAGGCCTGGGAATCGCCGGAGGCGAGGAAGACAAAACATAATCGAGAAATGGCTTCAGGAAGTGAGAGAGCAG